AGCTCCCCCAGTAAAATGTATCCTCTCCGAATTGGGCTTACTGCATTGTGGATTTCACAAAAAAATTTATAAATAATTCAACCACAATATGTCACAAAAGCCCTATTCGCACGGGACTAGTATTACTATAGAACGTCGGTTATGTAATTATTACCACAGAATGTCAGTTTTTCCAGTGGACGATTTGGACGGGATTAGTTTAACCAGTTTTACCAAATTACGGATGTAGTGATTTGTGCTCGTGCACATAATTACATTACCTGAGCTCCCCCATTAAAATGTATCCCATCCGAACAGGGCTAAAGTAATGATTCATATTCAGTCACCTCTCCACCTCACGTTACCTACCTGTGCTTTTGGAGCTTTTGGAGATGAGACATTGGTTGGAATGACGCAGAGACCCAGTCCCAGGAAGATCTGATGGTAACACTATTCTATATGGAGGAACGAGAGAGAGGTTACACAAAACCCGAGAGTCCCCAGTACTCTATAGCCACATGATTAACATTCATTTAATTTAGCCAAGACAGTCCACTCAGTAAAAATTGCCACATTTTTTCCAGAAAACCCTGGAAAAGCAAAGTGTAACATTCAGAGTGAGGCACTGACATACAGTATACACTGAGTATACAAAACATTAGGAACACCTGCTCTTTCCATGACACAGACTGACCAAGTGAATCCAGGTGAAAGCTATGATCCCTTACTGTCACTTGTTAAATCCAATTCAATCAGTGTAGATGAAGGGGAGGAGACAGGTTAAAGAAGGATTGTTAAGCCTTGAGACAATTGAGACATGGATTGTGTATGTGTGCCATTCAGAGGGTGAATGGGCAAGACAAATATTTAAGTGCCTTTAAACGGGGTATGGTAGTAGGTGCCAGGCACACCTGTATGTGTCAAGAACTACAACGCTGCTGGGTTTATCACGCTCAACAGTTTCCTGTGTGTATCAAGAAAGGTCCCCCACCCAAAGGACATCCAGCCAACTTGACACAACTGTGGGAAGCATTGGAGTCAACATGGGCCATCATCCCTGTGGAACGCTTTCAACACCTTGTAAAGTCCACGCCCCGACGAATTGAGGCTCTTTTGAGGGAAAAGGGGGGGGGTGAACTCAATATTAGGAAGGTGTTCCTAATGTTTGGTATACTCAGTGTATTTTGTTTAAATTAAATGAACACTCACAGGTAGCCTGATCCTGGTTCATAGTCGTCCGTCACCTGGTTGACATACTCTATAGAACAGAGATAGCACATCCGCAGAGACACGCACACACAGCTGTCAATCAATCACGTCAGAGTATATGAATGGTTTAATGTCCAATTGTCTGAATGAATGTGAGTAGGTGAATGTGAGTAGTAAGCAAGCAGGTACAGTAGCGGTTAGAGCGTTGGGCCAGTAATTAAAAGGTTGCTGGTTCAAACACCCAAGTCAACAAAGTGAAAACTTTGTCGATGTGCACTTGAGCAAGGCACTTAACCTTAGCTCCAGGGGTGCCATATGGCTGACCCTGTAAAACAATACATTTCACTGCACCTATCTGGTGTATGTGACAATAAAACATATATATATATAGTGAGGGAAAAAAGTATTTGATCCCCTGCTGATTTTGTACGTTTGCCCACTGACAAAGAAATGATCAGTCTATAATTTTAATGGTAGGTTTATTTGAACAGTGAGAGACAGAATAACAACAAAAAAATCCATGTCAAAAATGTTATAAATTGATTTGCATTTTAATGAGGGAAATAAGTATTTGACCCCCTCTCAATCAGAAAGATTTCTGGCTCCCAGGTGTCTTTTATACAGGTAATGAGCTGAGACTAAGGGGACAGGACAACTTCACCGCATCAAAGGGACTATGGACGGGGCCATGTACCGTCAAATCTTGGGTGAGAACCTCCTTCCCTCAGCCAGGGCATTGAAAATGGGTCGTGGGTGGGTATTCCAGCATGGCAATGACCCAAAACACACGGCCAAGGCAACAAAGGAGTGGCTCAAGAAGAGGCACATTAAGGTCCTGGAGTGGCCTAGCCAGTCTCCAGACCTTAATCCCACAGAAAATCTGTGGAGGGAGCTGAAGGTTCGAGTTGCCAAACGTCAGCCTCGAAACCTTAATGACTTGGAGAAGATCTGCAAAGAGGAGTGGGACAAAATCCCTCCTGAGATGTGTGCAAACCTGGTGGCCAACTACAAGAAACGTCTGACCTCTGTGATTGCCAACAAGGGTTTTGCCACCAAGTACTAAATCATGTTTTGCAGAGTTGTCAAATACTTATTTCCCTCATTAAAATGCAATTCAATTTATAACATTTTTGACATGCGTTTTTCTGGATTTTGTTGTTGTTATTCTGTCTCTCACTGTTCAAATAAATCTACCGTTAAAATTATAGACTGATCATGTCTTTGTCAGTGGGCAAACGTACAAAATCAGCAGGGGATCAAATACTTTTTTTCCCTCACTGTATATTTTTTTCACCTAAGGAGCTATGTGCCATTTTTCTAAACTTCTTCAGCAGTTACTGTACACAAAAGTTTGAGGGGATCAGTGTTATTGAACATGGTAGGATATAGCGTCCACATTACCTTTTCCTGGACTCTCATAGCCGTCATTACTCTCTGCAAGAACAAAGCAAACTATTAAGAAGGAACTGAACTGTGACGTTATGGAGATGGTGGTGGAAGAAGGAAGAAAGAAAACAAATGGAGAAAATAGACATTTGATGTAGAGGAAGAGCGAGACATCTCACCATTTTCAGTTGGGGTGACAGAGTTCGGTCTCCAAACGATCTGTGGTGAACTGTGGGATAGAAAGACAGGTACATTTCGCTTGACGGGTAATATGAGTCATTGTCTGTGTATGTGTGTGCGTTTGTGTGTGTGTGTGTGTGTGTGTAGTAACTCACATGCTTGTGGCAGCAAAGGGGTTGTCTGAGGAGGAAGGTTAATCATAATCATCATCATCATCATCATACATTTTTCTAAAGAGATATCATGAAAAAATTTGTGTAGAACTTTAGCCATCACACACATACTCACATGGTGGGTGGGCCAACCCGAATCCTGGGGTGCTGAGTGGAGAAGAAACCAGAGCGTTGGTAGAGGTTTGAATCCTAACCTGACTCAACACTGTACATGCACTGAAATCAACTGGAGATTTGTGCAAACATTCAGGCCCACTTCTCATCAGGTACACTTACACAGTGCACCGGACATACAGTGGGGAAAAAAAGTATTTAGTCAGCCACCCATTGTGCATGTTCTCCCACTTAAAAAGATGAGAGAGGCCTGTAATTGTCATCATAGGTACACGTCAACTATGACAGACAAATTGAGAAAAAAAAATCCAGAAAATCACATTGTAGGATTTTTAATGAATTTATTTGCAAATGATGGTGGAAAATAAGTATTTGGTCACCTACAAACAAGCAAGATTTCTGGCTCTCACAGACCTGTAACTTCTTCTTTAAGAGGCTCCTCTGTCCTCCACTCGTTACATGTATTAATGGCACCTGTTTGAACTTGTTATCAGTATAAAAGACACCTGTCCACAACCTCAAACAGTCACACTCCAAACTCCACTATGGCCAAGACCAAAGAGCTGTCAAAGGACACCAGAAACAAAATTGTAGACCTGCACCAGGCTGGGAAGACTGAATATGTAATAGGTAAGCAGCTTGGTTTGAAGAAATCAACTGTGGGAGCAATTATTAGGAAATGGAAGACATACAAGACCACTGATAATCTCCCTCGATCTGGGGCTCCACGCAAGATCTCACCCCGTGGGGTCAAAATGATCACAAGAACGGTGAGCAAAAATCCCAGAACCACACGGGGGGACCTAGTGAATGACCTGCAGAGAGCTGGGACCAAAGTAACAAAGCCTACCATCAGTAACACACTACGCCGCCAGGGACTCAAATCCTGCAGTGCCAGACGTGTCCCCCTGCTTATGCCAGTACATGTCCAGGCCCGTCTGAAGTTTGCTAGAGTGCATTTGGATGATCCAGAAGAGGATTGGGAGAATGTCATATGGTCAGATGAAACCAAAATAGAACTTTTTGGTAAAAACTCAACTCGTCGTGTTTGGAGGACAAAGAATGCTGAGTTGCATCCAAAGAACACCATACCTACTGTGAAGCATGGGGGTGGAAACATCATGCTTTGGGGCTGTTTTTCTGCAAAGGGACCAGGACGACTGATCCGTGTAAAGGAAAGAATGAATGGGGCCATGTATCGTGAGATTTTGAGTGAAAACCTCCTTCCATCAGCAAGGGCATTGAAGATGAAACGTGGCTGGGTCTTTCAGCATGACAATGATCCCAAACACACCGCCCGGGCAACGAAGGAGTGGCTTCGTAAGAAGCATTTCAAGGTCCTGGAGTGGCCTAGCCAGTCTCCAGATCTCAACCCCATAGAAAATCTTTGGAGGGAGTTGAAAGTCCGTGTTGCCCAGCGACAGCCCCAAAACATCACTGCTCTAGAGGAGATCTGCATGGAAGAATGGGCCAAAATACCAGCAACAGTGTGTGAAGATTCCCAACAGAGCGTTAGGTCGTAGGTCGCTGATGATCTGCCATGTGGTCAATGAGATTGGTTCTAAACCGGACGTCGAGTTCAGGCCGAGTTGCCCCCAATCCAATCCCAAGACCAGCTCAGTCGTCAGCTACACTGAGATGCGCCATTTTGGATGCATTTGATCTACAGTATACCATACCTGTCTGTTGCTCAAATCCCTATCCTACCACATGCAACTCTATTTAACACCATCTATTCTTTTTGTCCACTCTGTTTTTTCCTCTTTCAGTTAACTGTAAGGAATCTTGACTATAGCAGCTTGACATAGGTGCCTTCCTCGATGCACCCTTCTGTCTGTACGACCTGTTCAGTCTCCTCCTCCTTCCCTTTCTCACTCTTCTCATTAACTCTCCTACCCCGCTGTCATCTCAGCCTCCCCCAATGTGCCTTTCTTCTATCATTCTCACAATGTTGTTTCAGATCACCTCTCCCCACCACCGTACCTCTGATCTTATCGCCTCCTTCTCTCTCTCGCTACCTCTCAAAGAGACCTGAAACGCACATTAAAATACAGGGAATGACAAGTATTCAGTTCATGGTTCAAAAGATGCATGTACCATCCTATAGTTCTAAATCAAAATCCTACACCGGGGTACCACAAGGGTCTGTATTTGGACCAGTGTTTATGCTGTAGAAGGAACAGTGGGAACAGCATAAGAAGTGGCCAACATTCAGACCCTTGGCTATCATTTGGTCCATACGAGTCAATAATCAGTTATCGTCAACTGAGCTGCTAATTGAGCTGTCAGTAATAATGCTTTATTTTTGAGTCAGGGAAGTAGAATCTGAAAATCAACTCAGAAATGTCAGTTAGATAAAGTATACGACACAGACATGGAATGGCAAATCCCGACAGGTGCCTCTTATACAGTGAGGGAAAAAAGTACTTGAAGTTTGCCAATGAACATCTGAATGATTCAGAGGAGAACTGGGTGAAAGTGTTGTGGTCAGATGAGACCAAAATCGAGCTCTTTGGCATCAACTCAACTCGCCGTATTTGGAGGAGGAGGAATGCTGCCTATGACCCCAAGAACACCATCCCCACCGTCAAACATGGAGGTGGAAACATTATGCATTGGGGGTATTTTTCTGCTAAGGGGACAGGACAACTTCACCGATGGACGGTGCCATGTACCATCAAATCTTGGGTGAGAACCTCCTTCCCTCAGCCAGGGCATTGAAAATGGGTTGTGGATGGGTATTCCAGCATGACAATGACCCAAAACACACAGCCAAGGCAACAAAGGAGTGGCTCAAGAAGAAGCACATTAAGGTCCTGGAGTGGCCTAGCCAGTCTCCAGACCTTAATCCCATAGAAAATCTGTGGAGGGAGCTGAAGGTTTGAGTTGCCAAACGTCAGCCTCGAAACCTTAATGACTTGGAGAAGATCTGCAAAGAGGAGTGGAAAAAAATCCTTCCTGAGATGTGTGCAAACCTGGTGGCCAACTACAAGAAACGTCTGACCTCTGATTGCCAACAAGGGTTTTGCCACCAAGTACTAAGTCATGTTTTGCAGAGGGGTCAAATACTTATTTCCCTCATTAAAATGCAAATCAATTTATTATATTTTATTTTATAACATTTTTGACATGCGTTTTTCTGGATGTTTTTGTTGTAATTCTGTCTCTCACTGTTCAAATAAACCTACCATTAAAATTATAGACTGATCATGTCTTTGTCAGTGGGCAAATGTACAAAATCAGCAGGGGATTAAATACTTTTTTCCCTCACTGTAGCTCTGTGTGTGTGTTCCCCATCTTCATCAGTGTACTCATTATTATTGTCTCCAGACAATCATTTTAGGGGAAATGTTTCCGCCACTATAGATGCTCCTCTAGCAGACTGCCATCAGAAAAGCTGGTTGGCAAGGCATGTTGCATTGAGTGTTACCATCCTGGTTTAACTGCCTGAGCATCTGAGAAGACGCTAGTTCTCAGAAGAACACAAATGTCAAACTGCTCTGGACATACACACTCATGTGGGCGCACACACACACACCGTCTCGCAGCAGCGTTAAGATTGAATATTGTGTGAACGTTGTTTAAGCGACCTGCTTTCTCGCTCACCCTCCCACCTACAAACAGGAAACCACACCAACGGAAGGAAGCCGTGAGCTCCTCTTTCTCTCGCTCTCCATCAAAGAGGAGAGAGACTGTGTAGACAACTGAAACAAATAAGGGTAGAGGAGGAATTCCTGAATGAGAGAGGGGCAGAGGAGAGGGAGATGTCATAGGAGTGACAGGAGAGGGGGAAAGGTATAGAAAGGCTGAATGAGAGAGGTTACAGCTGCACTTGTGCAGCATAGTCTACAACCCTCCATGAAAACCTGGCTATGGGCTTACAGGATCCAAGCTTCAAAGACACATTTATCACCTCTGCATCTGCAAAGCACTAAGTGACATCTGCACAGATACATAGAGAAATCATTCCATGAGTCATCTCAACAACAGTCCTTTCTCATCGTTTAATGTTTCAACAAAAGGTTACATCAAATCAAATTCATATTAGAAACTAGCAACTTTAACAAAAAAGTTTCTTTCCAAAATAACCAATATATATTTTTTAAATAATTTAACGCCTTCATTAAAAAAGGGATATACATTTTCCTCAGACAATTAAGAAATGTACACTCTGTAATAGACCTGATTTTATATCCTGGACTTTGTGACATCAGTGCCTCTATATGAGGTCACAAAAACCCAAAGTACACCTGACCGCCCGGAACATTCCATAAAAACACCACTAATAAAAACAATAGTCTTAAAAACCATAGATTATCTTCTGCACCTGTCTGGAACAGACATTTGTCCCGCTACCATTTTCTAGGGAGCCGAGGGACAAATCTAGTGTTATTATTATAATATACCAAAACGGGTCTAAAAACAGAACAAGGATTATTAGGCTTAATCTGTTAAAAATGCAACATCCGACAACAGATCGGTGGGTTTGGAGTCCAATGCGGGTACCACGGGCCTGTGCCTGCCAACTCCCTTTAAATCGGTCTGATACTGTATGTAGTAAGTAGTATGTGGTTACACTGAACGGACAAGCATCATATTTACAGTCTTAGTTTGTTGACGGGAGGATGACAGCACTGGTTGGAATGGCTTTGAAATGGGCCAGCCGTAGTTGTTCCGTGGCCAATCAGAGCTCTGCGTTTCAGACCAAAGCAAGAAGTACAGCAGCAGTAGTTGGGATGTAGTGGTTACAGCGCAATCAGAGCGCTGGGGTGAAAAATATCCTGCCGGTTTTCCAGAGGTCTCTACCGTCGACATATGGTCCCTGTAGAATAACGGATGAGTGTCTGTCTAAGAGTGACACCCTATCTGTGACCCTGCGACACATTGGCTGCAACAGGAGATTTAATGGGGGTGCATGCATCGGAATGCAAAAAGGCTTTTCTGCTTCCTTCTCTCCCTCGGGTAAAGTAGCTGCTTCTCCTCTGAAATTCCCTCTCTGAAAGTCCTTTCTTCTATCCGGTCACCTCTTCCAGCCACAGAGGTTAGGCTTCCACTGATGTGGCTCTTTGACTTTTACTCTGCATACATTTCTCATAAGCCACTATGTCTCATGTTGTCATGACAACATGTGAAGACAATCAGAAGTGGAATATCTGGTTGGTGACTACAAAAACACAAGGAAATGATGAGCGGAAGGTTTGGCAGCTCTGACTCTGCCATGTTCATCAGCAGATAAAGGTATTAAAAACCATATAATCTAAAATGTTACAAATACAATCAAAGACCATAGTTGTAAAAACACTGCTGCGCGATTGGTCACTGAAACAGGGACCAATCAGGGTGCAGCATCTTCCACAGGAGTCACCAACGTCCCTTTGATCTCCTCAAATCAGAACGCTGGACACTGGCACCCTCGTGGACCTGCCGCTCTTGGGTACAACAATTGGTTCATCATCTGTCAGGGAAAGAAAATGCAGGACAGTACAATTATCAAGATGAGCAGAATATGTGACCTGGCAGTTTCTTGTAACTGTTACTAGCCTCTCTCTGCTAACATCACCTGTGGTCTGTAGAGTCATCTCTACCAGTCTCATCTGTGGTTGCTCTCAACTATTGTTAGTCTCTCAAAACTCTCCCTCACATACCCGTAGTTAGCAGGAGTAACAGTGTTAGACCAGTGTTGGGCCAGCAGCATACCACCTTGCATCCCACTTCAGGCTTGCCTCTGAAGCTAATCAGGGTTGGTCTTGGTGTGTCCCTGGATGGGAGACCAGATGCTGCTTGAAGTGGTGTTGGAGGGCCAGTAGGAGGCACTCTTTCCTCCGGTCAAAAGAAATATCCCAATGCTCCAGGGTAGTGATTGGGGACATTGCCCTGTGTAGGGTGCCGTCTTTTGGACTGGACATTAAATGGGTGTCCTGACTCTCTGTGGTCAATAAAGATCCCATGGCACTTATTGTAGGGATTAGATGATGGCCACCTAATTATCCTCAGCTCCCAATTGGCTTATTCATCCCCTGTAACTATTCCCCAGTTCATTGCTGTAACTGAAACTGTGTTCAGTCAACGTTCCTGGTAAAATAAGGGAGATTTTTTTTAAGGCTCCTCATTGAATTGTGTGACTTTCACCACTTCACATGCATTCATAGTTAGGCTGTCATAGCGTCACCTGTTGCTAATCTGAGGCCGGGCACATAAAGGTAGCTCCAAGTTTAGCCTCTCACCTGAGATTGCGTAGTTTGCGGCACATTGACGGTCCTTCTCGATGAAGAGGGCGGTAGCCAGGAAGAAAGCCCCGCCCCCCACTGCCACGAAAGAGCAGGTGAGGAGGGAGAGCTGCAGGGAGCGGAACTGCCACAGGTACGAGTCAGTCTGCTTCAGAGAGTCTGACACCTGATGGGGGGGGGGGGGATGTTACACAGTAAATGAGGATCATACTCGGTTTCTTTAGACAAGTGTGTGTGTGTGTATCAAATGTGTAGGTAGGCGTTTATGTGTGTGTGTGTGATAATAAATCACGTGACATACCACTCCTATGAGATAAGGACTACCAGCATCTCCAAGGAGGTGAGCGAGAACGATCTGGAAGGCCTCAGCTGTGGAACGACGAGTGGGGACAACCACGTACTGAGAAAGATGGAGGGAGAGAGAGAGAGGAAAGAATTAGCAAACTTTTTTGTATATCTTATAAAATCAGCACAATACATAAGTACAGTGTATTCGGAAAGTATTCAGACCCTTTGACTGTCTCCACATTTCGTTACATTACAGCCTTATTCTAAAATGGATTCAATCATTTTTTCCCTGTCAATCTACACACAATACCCCATAATGACACCAGGGGGAGACTCGTCAAGGTCTGGTGACAGTCTACATCACGCGGCAGTGGCTCCCTCTGCTAGACATGCCAGGTCTCGACGGGTCCTCCGGCCAGGACTAATTGGGGCTGGTGAGTAATCAAGGGGCTGATTGCTCACCAGCCATACGGGGCCCATAAAGCTGCCAGGAGGGCAGCACACGGGAGGGTTGGAGGTAGTGAGAGGTTGCTACTGGATAGAAATCCTCACAGTCTGCTAGAACCGAGGAGCTCGGTGTTCTACCTCAGAGGAGACAGCATTCCCCGGAGCCCAGAAGGCGTTAACCCAGAAGAGGTTTCCTGGAGGAGACCGGTTTATTTTTCTTTATTGTTTTAAATAAACACCCTTGAAACTGAGGTGTCACACTTGTGTCTGATCTGTGTAAATGTCTTGATCAAACCCCCTGGTCTGCCACAGTATTAAAAATAAAAAAACAGAAACACCTTATTTACATACAGTGAGGGGGAAAAAGTTTTTGATCCCCTGCTGATTTTGTACATTTGCCCACTGACAAAGAAATGATCAGCCTATAATTTTAATGGTAGGTTTATTTGAACAGTGAGAGACAGAATAACAACAAAAACATCCAGAAAAACGCATGTCAAAAATGTTATAAATTGATTTGCATTTTAATGAGGGAAATAAGTATTTGACCCCCTCTCAATCAGAAAGAATTCTGGCTCCCAGGTGTCTTTTATACAGGTAACGAGCTGAGATTAGGAGCACACTCTTAAAGGGAGTGCTCCTAATCTCAGTTTGTTACCTGTATAAAAGACACCTGTCCACAGAAGCAATCAATCAGATTCCAAACTCTCCACCATGGCCAAGACCAAAGAGCTCTCCAAGGATGTCAGGGACAAGATTGTAGACCTACACAAGGCTGGAATGGGCTACAAGACCATCGCCAAGCAGCTTGGTGAGAAGGTGACAACAGTTGGTGCAATTATTCGCAAATGGAAGAAACACAAAATAACTGGCAATCTCCCTCGGCCTGGGGCTCCATGCAAGATCTCACCTCGTGAAATCATGAGAACGGTGAGGAATCAGCCCAGAACTACACGGGAGGATCTTGTCAATGATCTCAAGGCAGCTGGGACCATAGTCACCAAGAAAACAATTGGTAACACACTACGCCGTGAAGGACTGAAATCCTGCAGTACACGCAAGGTCCCCATGCTCAAGAAAGAACATATACAGGCCCGTCTGAGGTTTGCCAATGAACATTTGATTGATTCAGAGGAGAACTGGGTGAAAGTGTTGTGGTCAGATGAGACCAAAATCGAGCTCTTTGGCATCAACTCAACTCGCCATGTTTGGAGGAGGAGGAATGCTGCCTATGACCCCAAGAACACCATCCCCACCGTGAAACATGGAGGTGGAAACATGCTTTGGGTGTGTTTTTCTGGTAAGGGGACAGGACAACTTCACCGCATCAAAGGGACAATGGACGGGGCCATGTACTGTAAAATCTTGGGTGAGAACCTCCTTCCCTCAGCCAGGGCGTTGAAAATGGGTTGTGGATGGGTATTCCAGCATGACAATGACCCAAAACACACGGCCAAGGCAACAAAGGAGTGGCTCAAGAAGAAGCACATTAAGGTCCTGGAGTGGCCTAGCCAGTCTCCAGACCTTAATCCCATAGAAAATCTGTGGAGGGAGCTGAAGGTTCGAGTTGCCAAACGTCAGCCTCGAAACGTTAATGACTTGGAGAAGATCTGCAAAGAGGAGTGGGACAAAATCCCTCCTGAGATGTGTGCAAACCTGGTGGCCAACTACAAGAAACGTCTGACCTCTGTGATTGCCAACAAGGGTTTTGCCACCAAGTACTAAGTCATGTTTTGCAGAGGGGTCAAATATTTATTTCCCTCATTAAAATGCAAATCAATTCATAACATTTTTGACATGCGTTTTTCTGGATCTTTTTGTTGTTATTCTGTCTCTCACTGTTCAAATAAACCTACCATTAAAATTATAGACTGATAATGTCTTTGTCAGTGGGCAAATGTACAAAATCAGCAGGGGATCAAATACTTTTTTCCCCTCACTGTATGTGTTCAGATCCTTTGCTATGAGACTGGAAATTGAGCTCAGATGCATCCTGTTTCCATTGATCATCCTTGAGATGTTTCTACAACTTGAATTCAATTGATTGGACATGATATGGAAAGGCACACACCTGTCTATATAGGGTCCCACAGTTGACAGTGCATGTCAGAGCAAAAACCAAGCCATGAAGTCGAAGGAATTGTCCGTAGAGCTCCGAGACAGTATTGTGTCGAGGCACAAATCTGGGGAAAGGTATCAAAAAATTTCTGCAGCATTGAAGGTCCAAGAACAGTGGCCTCCATCATTCTTAAATGGAAGAAGTTTGCAACCCCCAAGACTCTTCCTAGAGCTGTCTGCCCGGCCAAACTGAGCAATCGTAGAAGAAGGGCCTTAGTCAGGGAGGTGACCAAGAACCCGATTGTCACTCTGACAGAGCTCCAGAGTTCCTCTAGAAGGACAACCATCTCTGCAGCACTCCACCAATCTGGCCTTTATGGTAGAATGGCCAGACGGAAGCCACTCAGTAAAAAGGCACGGCAGACCGCTTCGAGTTTTCCAAAAGGCACCTAAAGGACTCAGACCATGAGAAACAAGATTCTCTGGTCTAATGAAACCAAGATTGAACTCTTTGGCCTGAATGCCAAGCGTCACATCTGGAGGAAACCTGGCACCATCCCTACGGTGAAGCATGGTGGTGCAGCATCATGCTGTGGGGATGTTTTTCAGCGGCAGGGACTGGGAGACTAGTCAGGTGTGAGGGAAAGATGAACAGAGCAAAGTACAGAGAGATCCTTGATGGAAAACTGCTCCAGAGCGCTCAGGACCTCAGACTGGGGCGAAGGTTCACCTTCCAACAGGTCAACGACCCTAAGCACACAGTCAAGACAACGCAGGAGTGGCTTCGGACAAGTCTCTGAATGTCCTTAAGTGGCCCAGCCAAAGCCCGGACTTGAACCCGATCAAACATGTCTGGAGAGACCTGAAAATAGCTGTGCAGCGACGCTCCCCATCCAACCTGACAGAGCTTGAGAGGATCTGCGGAGAAGAATGGGAGAAACTCCTCAAATACAGGTGTGCCAAGCTTGTAGCGTCATACCCAAGAAGACTTGAGGCTGTACTCCCTGCCCAAGGTGCATCAATGAAGTACTGAGTAAACGGTCTGAATACTTATGTAAAAGTAATGTTTTTTATTTTTTATAAATTTGCAAACATTTCTAAAAACCTGTTTTTGCTTCGTCATTATGGGGTATTGTGTATAGATTTATGAAAACAAAAAAACGATTTAATCAATTTTAGAATATGGCTGTAACGTAACAATATGTGATAAAGTCAAGGGGTCTGAATACTTTCCGAATGCACTGTAACCTTGAGGTTGGAAGGTTGAGAATGTGCACTAAAGAGATACATGCATGGGTTATATTCCTAGAAATGTGGCTATTCGTATATGCCACTGACTTGGCGTGATCTAAATTCCTCAGAAACCGAATCCATACTTTCCAGTTAGTACACATTTTTGTTGTAGCCCCAGACAAGCACACCTGATTCAACTTGTCAACTAATCATCAAGCCATCAATTAGTTGAATCAGGTGAGTTTGTCATGGGCTTCAACAAAAATGTGTACCGTTGGGGGTTCTCGAGGACTGGAGTTGGGCAACATTGCTCTAGACAGATCACGCTAATTTGATCAGAAACATCTGTATACGGACATTTATTGAATAGGGCACAACCATATTGCGCTTTAGAGAGAGAGAGAGAGAGAGAGAGAGAGAGAGAGAGAGAGAGAGAGAGAGAGAGAGAGAGAGAGAGAGAGAGACAGAGAGACAGAGAGACAGAGAGAGAGATGATAGTTATACATCTGAACTCACCAGCAGAATGTCCGCTACAATGGCCCAGTTCATAGACAGGAAGGTCTCTCCCAGGAAGATAAACACCTGATCACATAAAAAAAAACTGGTTAGACCACCATTACTTTTACCATGCACTGCGAATACAACGCCAGAGAGGAAAGCATGTATGTTTGTGGGTGTGAAAAAGACAGAGGCTGAAATATACTAGATGAAAAGCCGAAATGATTATGACATCCTGGCATTTAAAGCATACAACATTTTCAAAACTTCACGTACTATAAAACATTCCATCTTTGCATTCCATGTAAAAGGGCCCACGAGCACCAACATGGAAGTTCATAGGAGAATATCAAATTGAGTTCAAATGAAAGCTAATAGTCTATATTTGAGAAAGTAAGGCATATATACACTGAACAAAAATATAAAACGCAACATGTGCTGGTCCCACGTTTCATGAGCTGAAATAAGATTCCAGAAATGTTCCATACGCACAAAAAGCGTATTTCTCTCAAATTGTGCAGAAATGTGTTTACATCCATCCCTGTTAGTGAGCATTTCTCATTTGCCAAGATAATCCATCCACCTGACAGGTGTGGCATATCAATAAACGGATTAAACAGCATGATCATTACACAGGTGCACCTTGTGCAGGGGACATTAAAATGCCACTAAAATGTACAGCTGTCACACAACGCCACAGAGGTCTCAAGTTGAGGGAGTTGCAATTGGCATGCAGACTGCAGGAATGTCCACCATAGCTGTTGCCAGAGAATTGAATGTTAATTTCTCTACCATAAGCCTCCTCCAACGTAGTCTTAGAGAATTTGGTAGTACGTCCAACCGGCTTCACAACCACAGACGATGTGTAATCACGCCAGCCAAGGATCTCGACATCCGGCATCTTCATCTATGGGATCATCTGACCAGCCACCCGGACAGCTGATGAAACTGTGGGTTTGCACAAACAAAGAATTTCTTCAAACTGTCAGAAACCGTCTCAGGGAAGCTCATTTGCGTGCTCGTTGTCCTCACCAGGGTCTTGACCTGACTGCAGTTCGGCGTCGTAACAGACTTCAGTGGGCAAATGCTCACCTTCGATGGCCACTGATATGCTGGTAAAGTGTGCTCTTCACGGATGAATCCCGGTTTCAACTGTACCGGGCAGATGGCAGACAGCGCATTTCAGTTGCAGTCAGTGCCGTTAAAGACAAGGGAGGATGATTAATTTTTTTATGAGCATGGCCTTATTTCTATTACAGCATATATTGGATGGACTGTCATTCATATTCCATTCACATCGATAGGTTTAGGCTAATACATGATACTTAAATGTTCCCTGTCCCCATAAGGAGGTTACTACTATCTAGCCTATGAATTAAAGTTTACAACGTAGGTGCACAGGTCAAGATAATTTTGAGTAACCAAGGTGACAGTGACACATTCAATACCACATTGCACACGCTTGCAGGCATTTAGTTGATCTAGGGTGTAAACATTAGTCCAACAGTTGCATACGAGAGTTTCTATTGGATAAATTCAGGTATGTTCATCCCCGTTTCGTTCCATTTGCTTCCGTTTAAGAAACGTTTTTCAACAGAATCGGCAGAATGAATACACCCCTGATCACACGCAAACAGTTGACTTTCATAGCAGCCACATTCAAACAGCATGATCACTTTGCTCGCTGTGAGTAATATATATATATATATATATATATATATATATATAGTGAGGGAAAAAAGTATTTGATCCCCTGCTGATTTTGTACGTTTGCCCACTGACAAAGACATGATCAGTCTATAATTGTAATGGTAGGTTTATTTGAACAGTGAGAGACAGAATAACAACAAAAAAATCCAGAAAAACCCATGTCAAAAATGTTATAAATTGATTTGCATTTTAATGAGGGAAATAAGTATTTGACCCCTCTGCAAAACATGACTTAGTACTTGGTGGCAAAACCCTTGTTGGCAATCACAGAGGTCAGACATTTCTTGTAGTTGGCCACCAGGTTTGCACACATCTCAGGAGGGATTTTGTTCCACTCCTCTTTGCAGATCTTCTCCAAGTCATTAAGGTTTTGAGGCTGACGTTTGGCAACTCGAACCTTCAGCTCCCTCCACAGATTTTCTATGGGATTAAGGTCTGGAGACTGGCTAGGCCACTCCAGGACCTTAATGTGCTTCTTCTTGAGCCACTCCTTTGTTGCCTTGGCCGTGTGTTTTGGGTCATTGTCATGCTGGAATACCCATCCACGACCCATTTTCAATGCCCTGGCTGAGGGAAGGAGGTTCTCACCCAATATTTGACGGTACATGGCCCCGTCCATCATCCCTTTGATGCGGTGAAGTTGTCCTGTCCCCTTAGCAGAAAAACACCCCCAAAGCATAATGTTTCCACCTCCATGTTTGACGGTGGGGATGGTGTTCTTGGGGTCATTCCTCCTCCTCCAAACACTGCGAGTTGAGTTGATGCTAAAGAGCTCGATTTTGGTCTCATCTGACCACAACACTTTCACCCAGTTCTCCTCTGAATCATTCAGATGTTCATTGGCAAACTTCAGACGGGCCTGTATATGTGGTTTCTTGAGCAGGGGGACCTTGCGGGCGCTGCAGGATTTCAGTCCTTCACGGCATAGTGTGTTACCGATTGTTTTCTTGGTGACTATGGTCCCAGCTGCCTTGAGATCATTGACAAGATCCTCCCATGTAGTTCTTGGCTGATTCCTCACCGTTCTCATGATCATTGCAACTCCACGAGGTGAGATCTTGCATGGAGCCCCAGGCCGAGGGAGATTGACAGTTATTTTGTGTTTCTTCAGCAGGGGATCAAACACTTTTTTCCCCTCTCACACACACACACACACACACACACACACACAGTTGAAGTCGGAAGTTTACATACGCCTTAGCCAAATACATTTAAACTCAGTTTTTCACAATTCCTGACATTTAATCCTAGTAAAAATTCCCTGTCTTAGGTCAGTTAGGATCATCACTTTATTTTAATACTGTGAAATGTCAGAATAATAGTAGAGAGAATGATTTATTTCTGCTATTATTTCTTTAATCACATTCCCAGTGGGTCAGAAGTTTACATACACTCAATTAGTATTTGGTAGCATTGCCTTTAAATTGTTTAAACTTGGGTCAAATGTTTCGGGTAGCCTTCCACAAGCTTCCCACACTAAGTTGGGTGAATTTTGGCCCATTCCTCCTGACAGAGCTGGTGTAACTGAGTCAGGTTTGTAGGCCTCCTTGCTCGCACACGCTTTTTCAGTTCTGCCCACACATTTTCTATAGGATTGAGGTCACAGTCTTAGTGTATGTAAACTTCTGACCAACTGGAAATGTGATATAGTGAATTGTAAGTGAAATAATCTATCTGTAAACAATTGTTGGAAAAATTACTTGTGTCATGCACAAAGTAGATGTCCTAATCGACTTACCAAAACTATAGTTTGTTAACAATACATTTGTGGAGTTGTTGAAAAACGAGTTTTAATGACTCCAACCTAAGTGTATGTAAACTTCCGACTTCAACTGTGTATATATACAGTATCTCACAAAAGTGAGTACACCCCTCACATTTTTGAAAATATTTGAGTATATCTTTTCATGTGACAGCAATGAAGAAATGACACTTTGCTACAATGTAAAGTAGTGAGTGTACAGCTTGTATAACAGTGTACATTTGCTGTCCCCTCAAAATAACTCAACACACAGCCATTAATGTCTAAACCGCTGGCAACAAAAGTGAGTACACCCCTAAGTGAAAATGTCCAAATTGGGCCCAATTAGCCATTTTCCCTCCCCTGTGTCATGTGACTCGTTAGTGTTACAAGGTCTCAGGTGTGAATGGGGAGCAGGTGTGTTAAATTTGGTGTCTTCGCTCTCACACTCCCTCATACTGGTCACTGGAAGTTCAACATGGCACCTCATGGCAAAGAACTCTCCATTCCAAGATGGCGTAGCAGTGCGGTCGCTTTTATTCATTGTCCCTGTGTAAATATCCCGTTTCTTGTTTTTTTTGTCTATTTTGTATATATTTCTCAATTTTTACTTTTCATTCTTTAACTAAATATACTTTCCTGCAACCCGCCTCACCCAACGTGGAAAGGATTCTATTATTTCTTTATAACTTTCATCGAGAACCGTAAGCTGAAAATAGTGTAGCTGCAACTGAATGGCTACTTACTATTAGTCACCGTTAGCGTCTTCACCACTGTCCGTGGCCTACACTATCCACCAGCCAGCTCTAGCTCTAGCCTGGACAATTCGTCGGCCAGTCTGCACAGCGTGCTATCAACCCAGCGTGCTATCGACCCAGAGCTTATTGGACTTTCTGCCGGAATCACTGGACCCTAGCGCCGGATCATCGCAACCAGCTAGCTAGCTGCAACCTGTTGTTGGCTGATTACCATTGCCCTATAGCAAGCACCAGTTAGCCTTGAGCTAGCCTCAGGCCCATCTCCCGGCTATCTACCTCTCTGTCAACCGGACGGGACCTCCTAGTGTTGACACTGAGCCCCGCCGATCCAACACGACTGGTCTGCCGACGAAATAGTCTGATGTGGTTTCAACAGGCTTCCCGTTGCGACGACCACGAAGATCCATCTGCCAGCCCCGGCCCGCTAGCACACGCAAACTACAACTGTGCTCCCTGCTAGCTGTGCTGAAGCACCAATTTGAACTGCTCTCGGACTCACATATTGCTGTTCACTGGACCTTATGATCACTCAGCTGCACAGCTGATGCCTGCTGGACTGTTCCTTTACACGGTACCCTGTCCTGTTTATTCTGTTTAGCCTTAGCCCAAACATTATCGCTATTTCCAGTTGTTGTCTTAGCTCTCTCTAATAACACCTGTGACTGCTTTATGCCTCTCTCCCATGTCAATTATGCCTTGCCTATTGCTGTTTGGGTTAGTTCTTATTATACAATTTCACTGTAGAACCCCTAGTCCCTCTCAAACTGCCTCAAATAGTTCCTTTGTTCCACCCCCCATACACGCCGAGACCGGCTCAATCGGTGCCTCCAGTGACGCTATCTCTTTCATTGTTACCCAACGCTTAGGGTTACCTGAACTGTACTCATATCCTTCCATATCCTTTTCTGTACATAATGCCCTGAATCTTTTCTACAACGCCCGGAGAACTGCCCCCTTTATTCTATGTACCCAACGCACTAGAAGACCAGTTCTTAAAGCCTTTAGTCGTATCCTTATTCTAGTCCTCCTCTGTTCCTCTGGTGATGTAGAGGCTAACCCAGGCCCTGCAGCCCCCAGTATCACTCCTACTCCCCAGGAGCTATCATTTGTTGACTTCTGTAACCGTAAAAGTATTGGTTTTCTGCACGTAAATATCAGAAGCCTCCTTCCTAAGTTTGAGTTATTCACTGCGTTAGCACCTCCGCCAACCCTGATGTTCTAGCAGTGTCTGAATCCTGGGCTTAGGAAGGCCACCAAAAATTCTGAAATTTCCATCCCCAACTATAACATTTTCCGTCTAGATAGAACTGCCAAAGGGGGGGGTTGGAATCTACTGTAGAAACCAAGATCTATTTTTTTCCTTTATCCCCCCCCTTTTTTGGGTTCCTTTTTTTTTTTTAAAAAAATTTCCCGGGGGAAAAAAAAAAAAGGGGGGGGGGGGAAAAAATTTTTTGGGGGGGCCCCCCCCAAAAAACCCCTTTTCCCCAAAAAAGGGCCCCCCGGCCCCCCCCCAAAAAAACCCCCCCCCCCCCCAAAAAAACCCCCCCAAAAAAAAAAAAATTTTTTTTTAAATTTTTTTAAAACCCCTTAAAAAACCCCCGGTTTTTTAAAAATTTTCCCCCCTTTTTTTTGGGGCCCCCCCCCCGGGAAAAAAACCCCCCCACCCCAAAAAACCTCCCCCCCCCCCCCCCCCCCCCCCCAAAACCCCAAAACCCCCCCTTTTTTTTTTTTTTTTTTTTTTTTAAAAAAACCCCCCCCCCACCCCCCCAAACCCCCCCCCCCCCCCCCCCCCCCCCCCCCCCCCCCCCCCCCCCCCAAAACCCCCCCCCCCCCCAAACCCCCCCCCCCCCCAAAACCCCCCCCCCCCCCCCCCCAAAAAACCCCCCCCCCCCCCCCCCCCCCCCCCCCCCCCCCCCCCCCCCCCCAAACCCCCCCCCCCCCCCCCCCCCCCCCCCCCCCCCCCCACCCCCCCCCCAGCCCCCCCCCCCCCCCCCCCCCCCAAAACCCCCCCCCCCCCCCCCCAAAAAAAGGGGCCCCCCCCCCCCCCCCCCCCCCTTTTTTTTTTTTTTTTTTTTTAAATTTTTTTTGGGGGTTTTTTTTTTTTTCCCCCCCCCCTTTTTTTTTTTTTTTTTTTTTTTTTTCCCCCCCCCCCCCCCCCCCCCCCCCCCCCCCCCCCCCCCCCCCCCCCCCCCCCCCCCCCCCCCCCCCACCCCCCCCCCCCCCCCCCCTTTTGGGCCGGGGAAAAAAATTTTTTTTTTGGGGGGGGGGGTTTTTTTTTTTTTAAAAATTTCCCTTAAAATTTTTAAAAAAAAAAAAAAAAAAATTTTTTCCCCCGGGGGGCCCCCCCCCCCCGGGGAAAACCCGGGGGGAAAAAAGGGGGAAAAAAAAATTTTTCCAAAAAAAAAAAATTTTTGGGGGCCCCCCAAAAAAAAAAAAACCCCGGGCCCCCCCTTTCCCGGGCCCACCCCCCAAAAACCCCCCCCCAAAAATTTCAAAAAAATTTTTCCCCCCCCTTTTTTCCCCGGGGCCCAAACCCCCCCCTTTTCCCCCCCCCCCCTTTTCCCCTCCCCCCCCCCATCCCCCCCCCTTTCCCCCCCCAAAAAAAATTTCGGGAAAAAAACCCCCCAAAATCTTTTTTTTTTTTCCTTTTTCCCCCAAATTTTTTTGGCCCCCTTTTTCCTTCCCCTTTTCCCAAATTGGAAAGCCCCGGGTTGGGTTTTTCCCCCCCCTTTTGGGGGGCCCCTTTAAAAATTTTTCCCCCCCCCTTTTTTTTTAAAAAAAAAAAAACCCCCAAACCCCCCCCCCCTTTTTTCCGGGGGGGTTTTTTCCCCCCCTTGGGGCCCAAAAAACCCAAAAAAAAACCCCCGGGGTTTTCCCCCCCCTTTTTCCCCCCCCTTTTTTCCCCCAAATTTTTGGGGAAAAACCCCCCCTTTTTTTCCCCTTTTTTTAAAATTTTTAAAAAATTTTTTTGGGAAAGGGGGGGGGGGCCCTTTTTCCCCCTTTTTTTGGGGGGTTTTTTTTTCCCCTTTTTGGGGGGGGCCCCCCCCCCCAAAACCCCCCCCCAAAACACCTTTTTTTAAATTTTTTTTCCCCCCCCTTTTAAAAAATTTTTAAAAACCCCCCCCCCCCCAAAAAAAAAAAGGCCCCCCCCTTTTAACCCCCCCCCCCCCCCCCCCGGGGGGTTTTTAAAAATAGGGGGGGGGAAAAAAACCCTTTTTTTTAAAAAAAATTTTTTTTTAAAAAAAAACCCCAAAATTTCGCCCCCCCCCCCCAAAAAAAAAAAAAACCCCCCCCAAAAAAACCCCCCCCTTTTTTTGGGGGGGTTTTTTAAAATAGCCAAAAATTTTAAAAAATTGGATGTAGTCTATCACAGTGCCATCCGTTTTGTCTCCAAAGCCCCATATAATACCCACCACTGTGACCTGTACGCTCTTGTTGGCTGGTCCTCACTACATATTCGTCGCCAAAACCCACTGGCTCCAGGCCATCTATAAATCACTGCTAGGCAAATCCCCGCCTTATCTTAGCTCATTGGTCACCATAGCAACACCCACCCGTAGTCTGCGCTCCAGCAGGTATATCTCACTGGTCATTCCCAAAGCCAACACCTCCTTTGGCCGCCATTCCTTCCAGTTCTCTGCTGCCAATGACTGGAACGAATTGCAAAAATCTCTGAAGCTGGAGACTCTTATCTCCCTCACTAACTTTAAGCATCAGTTGTCAGAGCACCTTACCGATCACTGCACCTGTACACAGCCCATCTGAAATTAGCCCGCCCAACTACCTCATCCCTATATTGTTATTTATTTTGCTCATTTGTACCCCAGTATCTCTATTTGCACATCATCTCTTGCACATCTATCATTCCAGTGTTAATACTAATTGTAATTATTTTGCACTATAGCCTATTTATTGCCTTACCTCCATAACTTGCTACATTTGCACACACTGTATATATATGTATTTCTGTTGTATTTTTTACTTTTTTGTTTTACCCCATATGTAACTCTGTGTTGTTGTTTTTATCGCACTGCTTTGCTTTATCTTGGCCAGGTCGCAGTTGTAAATGAGAACTTGTTCTCAACTGGTTTACCTGGTTAAATAAAGGTGATTTTTTTTATTTATTAAAAAAAAAAAAAAAAAAAAAAATCTCTCGAGGATCTGAAAAATAGATTTGTTGCTATACATAAAGATGGCCTGGGCTATAAGAAGATTGCCAAGACCATGAAACTGAGCTGCACACGGTGGCCAAGACCATACAGCGGTTTAACAGGACAGGTTCCACTCAGAACAGGCCTCGCCATGGTCGACCAAAGAAGTTGAGTGCACGTGCTCAGCGTCATATCCAGAGGTTGTCTTTGGGAAATAGACGTATGAGTGCTGCCAGCATTGCTGCAGCGGTTGAAGGGGTGGGGGGTCAGCCTGTCAGTGCTCAGACCATACGCCGCACACTGCATCAAATTGGTCTGCATGGCTGTCGTCCCAGAAGGAAGCCTCTTCTAAAGATGATGCACAAGAAAGCCCGCAAACAGTTTGCTGAAGACAAGCAGACTAAGGACATGGATTACTGGAACCATGTCCTGTGGTCTGATGAGACCAAGATAAACTTATTTGGTTCAGATGGTGTCAAGCGTGTGTGGCAGCAACCAGGTGAGGAGTACAAAGACAAGTGTGTCTTGCCTACAGTCAAGCATGGTGGTGGGAGTGTCATGGTCTGGGGCTGTATGAGTGCCGGCACTTGGGAGCTACAGTTCATCGAGGGAACCATGAATGCCAACATGTACTGTGACATACTGAAGCAGAGCATGATCCCCTCCCTTCGAAAACTGGGCCGCAGGGCAGTATTCCAACATGATAACGACCCCAAACACAACTCCAAGACGACCACTGCCTTGCTAAAGAAGCTGAGGGTAATGGTGATGGACTGGCCAAGCATGTCTCCAGACCTAAACCCTATTGAGCATCTGTGGGGCATCCTCAAACGGAAGGTGGAGGAGTGCAAGGTCTCTAACATCCACCAGCTCCGTGATGTCGTCATGGAGGAGTGGAAGAGGACTCCAGTGGCAACCTGTGAAGCTCTGGTGAACTCCATGCCCAAGGGGGTTAAGGCAGTGCTGGAAAATAATGGTGGCCACACAAAATATTGACACTTTGGGCCCAATGGACATTTTTACTTAGGGGTGTACTCACTTTTGTTGCCAGCGGTTTAGACATTAATGGCTGTGTGTTGTGTTATTTTGAGGGGACAGCAAATTTACACTGTTATACAAGCTGAACACTCACTACTTTACATTGTAGCAAAGTGTCATTTCTTCAGTGTTGTCACATGAAAAGATATACTTAAATATTTACAAAAATGTGAGGGGTGTACTCACTTTTGTGAGATACTGTATATATATATATATATATATTTCTTACAACCATCTATGCGCTCTCCTCCTCTCACCTTTTCCCTTCACTTGTGGACTTCAGTGCACAACACATCAGCTAACATAGCATCCCTCTCTGTTTGAGTAGGCTTAGCTAGCTGCATTGGCCTTCATGAAGAGGGAGGATAATTAAAGTTCACAGAAGTAACAAGTAAAAGTAGAGCAGACTAGAGTTGAGTACAATATAATGTACTGTACTGAACTATACAGCATTGTACTTACTGAGCTCTACCGTGCTTTACTTTGATGTCCAAACTTGTGAAACATAGACGTCTATGATTGGTTCAGATTTGGTCTGGTCTGGACCAACCAAATTTGGTCTTGTCTGGGGGCAGAGCTCATTAAAATAACATCCAGTGTGTAGAATAATAGCCAAATATGCAAAAGAGGACATTGCATATTAAAACTTGTGTGTACCCATTTAGGATACATGAAGAGAATTACATATCCATAATTATGCATTTCTGTGTAGTACAGATCAGGGACCAATGATGAAATTCCGTTATCGGGTGTAAATCCACTTCACTTACTGTAGTTCAATAACCAAAAGAGATGTTCATGTCATAGCTGACACCCCATTATTTTCGCAGACGTCGCTGAATCTTAATTCGGAGCAGATATTTAACAACAGTTTTTGGAAAACTTGGATTCATAAAAACTGAGGGAGATTTTTGCCTCTTCACCATTCTTCCAGTAAATGTGTTTTTGTAAAACTTTCTTTTTAACTTTTTTTTTTTTTTTTGTAAACAAATTGTTTTGTTTTAACAATTTACATTTAAGGTTTTACAAGTAGTCCTTATGCATAGAGTTGTATGGTTTGTTAAATTATAAAAATCAATGGTTTTGTTTGCCATACATTTTAAGTCTCCGTGCAATTCCGTTACCGTGGAATTGTCCATACCGAAAATGCATACTACTTAGAACGCATGTATTCGTACATGGCCACACAGAGAGAGAGCGAGAGAGATGGGTGTTGACTTACGTAGGTGGCGATGGGGCTGGCCTGAGCGAAGACGATGGCGAGGTAGAGGAAGGGAGCTGAGAGGAGGAGTCCTAGAGCACACACCAGGGGGTCTGCCCTTGGTGTCCTCAACCTCAGCCGCCTACTGGCCTCCGCACCACTGGCCACACCCAGGATCCCTGACACAACTGTGATGATGCCAAAGTACAAGCTGGGGAGGGAGAGAGTGAGAAGGAGACATTTGTTTACCCTTGTTGACTCATCTGTGTGGTTTTTGATGTTTTGAGAATTGACTATTTCCTGATAAACTGGATTCCTTTGATAGCCAAAGTTTGATGTCTAGTCTCTACTGCTGCTCTCTATTCACTGACTCCTACTGTCGTCCAAAGCCATTGCAGTTATCAGGAGTCGAGTGTAGTAGTGGCAACAATGTTGTGATGATTCAATCTTATCCTGTGATTACAGAGGAGTGCGATGATCCCTTAACATTCTGACTGATTATAAAGAGTCTTTGTTCAGCACCTAGTTCCTGTGTGTGTCGGACGTTTGTGTGTCACCTGTTGGATGTCGGTGTGAGTTTGTCTGTGTGTGTGTGTTACGTATCAGATGTCGGTGTGTTACCTGTCAGAGGTGTCGCAGGGCCCCTTAACACAGGGGGGCCGCTCTCCGGTGAAGACAGCAGCTCTGAAGAGGAAGGCCGGGGCCCAGAGTGCCAAGGAGCCAGTCACAAAGGCCACTGCTGTGAAGCCAAACGTAGACAGCACAAAGCTGGGGCTGCACACAGACACACACAAAGATATTAGTTTGATAACTCTTCTATAGTACCAAAGATGCATTATAATTGTGCAATGAATACAGAGCTATAGAGATATGGTCAAAACATAGTGGACTATTACAGGGAACATGGGTGTCATTTCAGACTCAACACAATATAGAAAATAGAATGCGATTTGATACTCAGCTCTGGTCAAAAGTAGTGCTCTACACAGGGATATAATTTGATACTGGGCTTGTGATCAACACCATTATCCCAGAAACCCTAGACCCATAAGACTCCTGAACATCTAATCAAATGGCTACCCAGACTATTTGCATTGCCCCCCCCCCCCCTTTACGCTGCTGCTACTCTGTTTATTATCTATGCATAGTCACTTTAATAACTCTACCTACATGAACATATTACCCTCGCACATTGACTCGGTACCCCCTGTATATAGCCTTGCTATTGTTATTTTACTGCTGCCCTTTAATTATTTGTTACTTTTATTTTTGTAGGTATTCTTTCTTAAAACTACATTGTTGGTTAAGGGCTTGTAAGTAAACATTTCACTGTAAGGTCTACACCTGTTGTATTCGGCGCATGTGATGAATAAAATGTGATTTGATTTTTTGATGGTGGACATACTTTCTGCAAAGGGCCTTCATGTCACCCAGCCAGCTGGTCCTTTGGAGGGTGTGCTCCTGTCTGTCCTCGATAGCACCCCTTTTCGGCTCTTTCACCACAAATAACAGCAACACGACCGCTACTAGTCCTAACGCAGGAGTCACCTAGGGGGAATAACCACAATTTTAATGGCATAATTGATGTATCTGATGTTCACAGATAGAACTAAAACATGGACACATTGAATTATTAAGAGTCAGATGAAAGGTACCACCATGCTTTTATGCATTTTTATATTATTCCTTTTATGGTTGAGAGTGTATGTATTTTGAGTAACTTTTGTGTTGAGAAGTAAGTATAATATCCAAAAGCTCAGGGGATGTGTTAACTCACCCGCAGCGCCCAATGCCAGTCCCCTGCCATGTCATCAACCTTTGACCCCACGATGTAGCCTAGACCACTGAGGAAGGAAGGACAATGGAACAAACATTCACCACAGGGTCAATTGGCTCCTCTTATCACAGATAACAATGATGGACACAGCTGTATTCATTATTATATGTATATGTTCTATGACCCCACCTGCCCACTGGAATGGCAAAATAGAAGACAGAGAGCATCTGCGTCCTCCTCTCCTTGACGTACAGGTCAGCGATGATGGTTGGGGCGATGGTGGAGTAACTGGCCTCCCCAACCCCCACCAGGCCACGCGTCAACAACAGGAGCCAGAAATACTGACAGGAGGAATGGTGGAGAGGGAGAGAGAGGGGAAGAAAGAGGGGAGGAGAGATGGGTGGAGAGAGGGGGAAGAAAATAACATGCCTTCAGGTTAAGATTGAACTTTTATTTAAAATCAGGGGAGCCCATTGAGACCAGGGTCTCATTTTCAATGGCGCCCTGACGACAACAAATTCAACACAAAAATTCCAATAAAAATAACATTTACCAAAAAAACTGCAGATTAAAATAAAATACAACTACAATTTCAACAACACAATACATTATTATTTTTTGCCCCCTTTTTCGTAATATCCAATTGCGATCTTGTCTCATCGCTGCAACTCCCCAACAGGCTCGGGAGAGGCGAAGGTCGAGTCATGCGTCCTCTGAAACATGAACTGCCAAACCGCGCTCCTTAACACCCACCTCCATAACCCGGAAGCCAGCCGCACCAATGTGTCAGAGGAAACTACCGAAGTCACCCTGCAGGCACCCGGCTCGCCACAAGGAGTCGCTAGAGCGCGATGAGCCAAGTAAAGCCACCCAGGCCAAACCCTCCCCTAACCCGGATGATGCTGGGCCAATTGTGTGCCGTCCTATGGGACTCCCGGTCATGGCCGGTTGTGACACAGCCTGGGATCGAACCCGGGTCTGTAGTGATGCCTTAAGCACTGCGATGCAGTGCCTTAGACCACTGCGCCACTCGGGAGGCCCACATTTTTACATTTAAATTTTTTAAAATGCTATTCTTATTTTACAAATTCAACATTAGACTCCTAAACTGCCACCAGGGAAACAAGACGCAGGGAGTTCTGCAGGTTATTCAAAAAATGGGGGGGCATTAAAACTGAAGGTGAATTTACCTAATTCGGTGGAGACCCGAGCTTTAAGATTTACTCAAGCTTTACTCTAGCTCACATCCCTTCACACACGGAGACAAGCCTAGGTGTCCACTGTATGATGTTAATATTTAAATATATATATATTAAAGGAAACAATCTTAGGCTTAGCCCTAGAGAGACCGAGAGAACGATAGAGATATGCCGGCGCCATGTTTCCAACATCAACATGGATTTCTTTATACTTGTCAACTGGCTACTACTGCTATACAGATATAGGCGTACAGAAGGAGGCTAATTCGTTCATTTTCGATCAGAATCTATTTTTTTATAAAAGATAAGTATTATATTGTTAGATTAAAGGAGTAACTCTGGTAGGCGGACATTCCGCTTGTAGGCATGCTCTTCTTCCTCTAACTTTTATTTTACTTCAATGAAAAACGCCTCCATCTTCACAATCAACAGTAGTCTAGGCCAAGGCTTCTCTCTCGCTCTCCCTCTCTTTCTTTCTCTCAGCAGCAGGCGCATGTGCGCGCAAGGAGTGTGAGAATGGTGCTGAAACGCAAATTTGAGTGTAGGCTATGATAGACAGCCTCTCCCGGCCAGTTACAATTTTATTTATCACAATGTTTATTTTATTTAGTATTTATTTTTCCTGGTGTGTGTGTAGCCAACCTGCCCCTCCCTCTCGGAAGCATAGTCTAGTAGAAGTTGGGGAAAGAGATTTTTAATTAGAGAAGAATGGATTAACCTTTTCAATGCTACTATAGTTATCACGTTTCACATTGGATTTATTAACTAAAAAAAGGTAAGACGGGTTTTTATTTTAATTCTGGTGAAAAAAAGGAACAGAAAGGAACGATATAAACCTGAACTTCTTTGGGGTTCAAACTGGTTTTATTTTGCAGGTGGGAACAGTGAACCGGAACCCAAAAAATAATGGTTCTGTTCAGAACGAAACGATTGAGAAATAATTTTGGTTCCAACCCCTGCTGAAAACGATAGTTAGAAAGTGTCACTCACTTCTCTGGGCGTGTAGGAGCTGGCGAGCGTCACCACGGACCAGAAGCCGATGCCCACACTCATGATCACCTTCCTGTTGTACCTGTCGCCCAGGTAACCAAAAACAGGAGCCAGGAACATGTAGCTGCAGATGAAGACTGTTTGGAGCAGCCCTGACTTCCCATCACTGATTCCAAAGTACTGCTCAATGTCAGGCAGAACACCTAAACAAGACAGAGACAGAGAGACCTGTGTTATATGGCATATGGGAAATTACTTATCCATAGCACTTTTTGGAGTTATGATAGTCAAATCCAACATGCTTTTTAGGAGTAGCTTATGCTTCCGTAGCAAACAGATCCATGATTGTTCTGTGTGAAATTATCATAATATATACAGTGGGGAGAACAAGTATTTGATACACTGCCGATTTTGCAGGTTTTCCTACTTACAAAGCATGTAGAGGTCTGTAATGTTTTATCATAGATACACTTCAACTGTGAGAGACGGAATCTAAAACAAAAATTCAGAAAATCACATTGTATGATTTTTAAGTAATTAATTTGCATTTTATTGCATGACATAAGTATTTGATCACCTACCAACCAGTAAGAATTCCAGCTCTCACAGACCTGTTAGTTTTTCTTTAAGAAGCCATCCTGTTATCCACTCATTACCTGTATTAACTGCACCTGTTTGAACTCGTTACCTGTATAAAAGACACCTGTCCACACACTCAATCAAACAGACTCCAACCTCTCCACAATGGCCAAGACCAGAGAGCTGTGTAAGGACATCAGGGATAAAATTGTAGACCTGCACAAGGCTGGGATGGGCTACAGGACAGTAGGCAAGCAGCTTGGTGAGAAGGGAACAACTGTTGGCGCAATTATTAGAAAATGGAAGAAGTTTAAGATGACGGTCAATCACCCTCGGTCTGGGGCTCCATGCAAGATCTCACCTTGTGGGGCATCAATGATCATGAGGAAGGTGAGGGATCAGCCCAGAACTACACGGCAGGACCTGGTCAATGACCTGAAGAGAGCTGGGACCACAGTCTCAAAGGAAACCATTAGTAACACACTACGCCGTCATGGATTAAAATCCTGCAGCGCACGCAAGGTCCCCCTGCTCAAGCCAGCGCATGTCCAGGCCCGTCTGAAGTTTGCCAATGACCATCTGGATGATCCAGAGGAGGAATGGGAGAAGGTCATGTGGTCTGATGAGACAAAAATAGAGCTTTTTGGTCTAAACTCCACTCGCCCTGTTTGGAGGAAGAAGAAGGATGAGTACAACCCCAAGAACACCATCCCAACCGTGAAGCATGGAGGTGGAAACATCATTCTTTGGGGATGCTTTTCTGCAAAGGGGACAGGACGACTGCACTGTATTGAGGGGAGGATGGATGGGGCCATGTATCGCGAGATCTTGGCCAACAACCTCCTTCCCTCAGTAAGAGCATTGAAGATGGGTCGTGGCTGGGTCTTCCAGCATGACAACGACCCGAAACACACAGCCAGGGCAACTAAGGAGTGGCTCCGTAAGAAGCATCTCAAGGTCCTGGAGTGGCCTAGTCAGTCTCCAGACCTGAACCCAATAGAAAATCTTTGGAGGGAGCTGAAAGTCCGTATTGTCCAGCGACAGCCCCGAAACCTGAAGGATCTGGAGAAGGTCTGTATGGAGGAGTGGGCCAAAATCCCTGCTGCAGTGTGTGCAAACCTGGTCAAGACCTACAGGAAACGTATGATCTCTGTAATTGCAAACAAAGGTTTCTGTACCAAATATTAAGTTCTGCTTTTCTGATGTATCAAATACTTATGTCATGCAATAAAATGCAAATTAATTACTTAAAAATCATACAATGTGATTTTCTGGATTTGTTGAAGTGTACCTATGATAAAAAATTACAGACCTCTACATGCTTTGTAAGTAGGAAAACCTGCAGTGTATCTAATACTTGTTCTCCCCACTGTAACTCTTAAAGGTCCTGCACAGTCAAAATCATGTTTTTCATCAAATGTGATATTTGGATGAAACCAGAACAAAGTAGGATGACCAAATTATGAAAAATTACTGTTGCTTCTACATTGATAAAGTTTGATCAGAAAGTTAATAAACATCACATAAAGCATCATTTTAATACACCATGGTAACATTTTATTATCTTACCTACTTTAAATAAGTACAGCCTTGTAACTGTCATCGCAGAAGGCATGTTGGCAGAGGTGCCTTGTTTAGATAGCTACTCTACTGGTACCAAAATTTTACTGCAGTGTGTCAGCAAATATAATTAGAGGCTAGCTAAGTCTTCAGCCAGCATGGAACAAATGTGGGGGAAGGCCTGCCCAAAACTGACGCAGTCGTCATGTCATGATATCGAGAGACATTCCAATTGGAAGATGCATACACATTTCTGAACATCATTGATAGTCATTATACAGAATCGGCAGAATGAATATACCCCTGAACACACGCAAACAGTTCACTTTCATAGCAGCCACATTCACTTTGCTCGCTGTGAGTAATACACACACACACATACACACATACATACACAAACAGTTGAAGTCTGAGGTTTACATACACCTTAGCCAAATAAATTTAAACTCAGTTTTTCACAATTCCTGACATTTAATCCTAGTAAAAATTCCCTGTTTTAGGTCAGTTAACTGAGTCAGGTTTGTAGGCCTCCTTGCTCGCACACGCTTTTTCAGTTCTGCTTACAAATTTTCTATAGGATTGAGGTCAGGGCTTTGTGATGGCCACTCCAATACCTTGACTTTGTTGTCTTTAAGCCATTTTGCCACAACTTTGGAAGTATGCTTGGGGTCATTGTCCATTTGGAAAACCCATTTGCGACCAAGCTTTAACTTCCTGACTGATGTCTTGAGAAGTTGTTTCAATTTATCCACATAATTTTCCTTCCTCATGATGCCATCTATTTTGTGAAGTGCACCAGTCCCTCCTGCAACAAAGCACCCCCACAGCATGATGCTGCCACCCCCGTGCTTCACGGATGGGATGGTGTTCTTCGGCTTGCAAGCGTTCCCCCTTTTTCCTCCAAACATAACAATGGTCATTATGGCCAAACAGTTATATTTTTGTTTCATCAGACCAGAGGACATTTCTCCAAAAAGTACGATCTTTGTCCCAATGTGCAGTTGCAAACCGTAGTCTGGCTTTTTAATGGTGGTTTTGGAGCAGTGGCTTCTTCCTTGCTGAGCGGCCTTTCAGGTTATGTCGATATAGGACTTGTTTTACTGTGGATATAGATACTTTTGTACCTGTTTCCTCCAGCATCTTCACAAGGTCCTTTGCTGTTGTTCTGGGATTGATTTGCACTTTTCGCACCAAAGTGCATTCATCTCTAGGAGACAGAACGCGTCTCCTTCCTATTGTTTGTACAGATGAACGTGGTACCTTCAGGCGTTTGGAAATTGCTCCCAAGGATGAAACAGACTTGGAGGTCTACAATGTTTTTTTCTGAGGTCTTGGCTGATTTCTTTTGATTTTCCCATGATGTCAAGCAAAGAGGCACTGAGTTTGAAGGTAGGCCTTGAAATACATCCACAGGTACACCTCCAATTGACTCAAATGATGTCAATTAGCCTATCAGAAGCTTCTAAAGCCATGATATCATTTTCTGGAATTTTCCAAGCTGTTTAAAGGCACAGTCAACTTAGTGTATGTAAACTTCTCACCCACTGGAATTGTGATACAGTGAATTATAAGTGAAATAATCTGTCTGTAAACAATTGTTGGAAAAATTACTTGTCATGCACAAAGTAGATGTCCTAACCGACTTGCCAAAACTATAGTTTGTTAACAAGAAATTTGTGGAGCGGTTGAAAAACAAGTTTTAATGACTCCAACCTAAGTGTGTGTAAACTTCCGACTTCAACTGTATATTAACATTGTTTGACAGTCATTATAAATGTATTTAATTAAATGTATCCAGACCTCACCCTGTAAAGTTTCAACTGAAATTGTCCAAGATGAATTAGCTAGCTAGCTTTATAAACAGTGCTGACAATTCCATTTGGGCTAGCTAGATAAATTATATAGCCAACATTTTGTCTATATTGATGCCGTTACAATAACCAAAGAGTTGGATAAACAAATAATTTGTGAAACCATGATGTATGACAGGATTGGATGTTGTATGCAATTTCAATGTTGTTCGAGTTGCCTTGTGTATCAGCAAATTTGTTTGAGAAAATCTTACTGCAAGATTAGGTGTTTTCAAAAAACCGCCAGTCAAGGTGGCCTCCCCGCCTACAGCCTACTAGCTCCCCGCTCACTCAGTCTTTTTAGACTTCCTGGTAGTTTGACATGAGAAAAAGTACAAAAAATATATATATCTAATTGGGAAAAAATATTATGGGTGATGTTTAAGTCACGCATAAGGCTATTGTACATGGGAATCAGAATGACTGTTCAGGACCTTTAAGGTGAGGATCAATATCTAAACACTTATGATATGTAGTTCCCCATTAAAGAAATGTTAGGTGAGCGTTGGGTTAGGAAAATGTTGGTGCAACAGATTATCCATACCAGCCACGGTGAACCTGTCCATGTAGTTGAGCAGGTTGATGAAACACAGGACGATAACGGTGAACACTGCTCTCATGCTGGACACTCCGCTGGCTGGCTCTTCCTCTTCCCGGCGCTGGCTAGGCCCCACACCAGGTTCTTCCGAGCCCTCTGCCTCGCTGTCAGAAAAGAAGGGTGTGGTGTCCGAGGTGGGGTCGGCTAGAGACATCACAGCTGCTGGAGAGAACAGGGAAGGAAACTGGATGAGGAGGCCATTTTGGGTCAACACTGTAGGCACCTTGAGTTAAATTGAACTCACATGCAAAGAGTTTTCTGTCAGAAACAAAGGAGAGGGAAAATAAAGAGGAAAAAGTAAACAGGAAAAATACCTAAATGAATGGCAGAAACACACGAAGGTCCAAATGCATTTCAAAAGTGTGTCATTGCAAAACCAAAGCTAATGTGGTCCTCTGTAGCTCAGCTGGTGGAGCACGGCGCTTGTAACGCCAAGGTAGTGGGTTCGATCCCCGGGACCACCCATCCACACAAAAAAAAAAAAATGTATGCACGCATGACTGTAAGTCGCTTTGGATAAAAGCGTCTGCTAAATGGCATATATTATTATAATGTGAGTGGTTAGGGAAAGTAATGTAATTTAGAGCCAGGGGACAAGACAGTCAGATATAATGTGGGAGAAGGGGGGAGTATAGGGCAAGTATAGCGATGCAGTCTTGTGATGTATGTTAACGAAACTAGCTTACTGTCATGAGAACATGGACAGCACGTGTCTGAATGTGTGTGTGTGCAGAGTGTTAAGACTTAGTGTGGGTGCATTTGTATCAGCAAGAATGGAGGCTGTTTAGAAAGAGTATGTGAGGAAACTCAGGTAATGAAAGATACCATAGATAGAACAATGAATTACCACTCGAGTATGGTTTCTGCATGTTTCCCATTTCCTCAAGTGTTTTTCAACGTCACACAAAGACTAACTCTAGGTGGTCACCAGACAGTGGGGTCAATTTGTGCTGACAAGCAGGCTAATACACGAACGTCCTCTTCAAAACAACAAGCTAAGGTGTGCATAATTAACCAAACAATTATGTCTAGAGTAGAGGGTTAAAATGCTTCGTCTGTTTACAGATAGCTAAATAAAATACCAATATGATTCTGATCGATACATGAACCTTAAACCAAGTTAGCTAGTTTGAGCAGGGTTCCATTGTCTTTGTAAGCTTGCAGAAGTATACCTTATGTTGTTAGTTACCTAAGTTAGCTGGCTACCGTTACGTGATTGCTGGACAGCAATTATGTAACTAGCTATTCCGACCCTATCATCATGGGACTTTGATTGGTTAGCTTGTTGCTAGCAACCAGTGGCATCGTAAACAATTGCCAATCACCTCGTTAGCTGGCTAGCTAGCTAGCTGTTGGCTAGCCACAAAACTAAAGCTACCTAACAGATTTGGTCATTCATCAATGTCAGTACGTTAGCTAGCTAATACTCTGTACCAAATGTATCCCATAGCTAGCAGCCCAGCAGTGTAATCTTACCAACTGTATACTTTGTAACAGATGTCCATAATAGCTTTGTGGCTGTGTGTGTCAAAGCTACTTTTTGTTATTGTTTACCTGGTAGATGGTCAACGGAGTGATGAGTCGGGATTGATGCGTCTTCGCGGGTTTCTAACTGTCTCGGGTCCTGTGTTGTTGTCAGATCTGCTCTTTCTTGGGTTTTATGGCATTAGCTTAAACACTAGCCTCAACATTTCTTGACGCATTATGGAGAAAATGGTCGGACGTGTAAACCGCTATGTTTTTGTGAGGCGCAGCTATGTTATTCTCTTCCTCGTTGCGGCTCAGCCATGTTGAAATGGTATCCAACTTCCGCCCCTTACTCACATGACACCACCACCCACTGGAAATCGACCACCAATGAAACTGAGACCATTTCTTTTTGTACCAGAGACTGAATACTGAATAGATAGCTAAACAAAAAGGCCTTTCATTGGAAAATAGTTTAATAATAAATCCACAAATATTTTGTTCCTTACTCAACCAATTATGTTAAAAATCATTGTCCTCAACTGACCCCCGGTGTGGTGAGATAACAGTTATTGTGCTGACGTTGCTTCCAGAGGCAGTTTGGAACTCGGTAGGACAGACGATTTTTATATGATTCGGCAGTCCGGTTCTGTGAGCATACCACTTCACGGCTGAGCCGTTGTTGCTCCTAGAGGTTTCTACTTCACAATAACAGCTAATAATAATAATATCCCATCTAGCAGACGCTTTTATCCAAAGCGACTTACAGTCATGTGTGCATACATTTTTACGTATGGGTGGTCCCGGGGATCGAACCCACCCACGTTACAAGCGCCATGCTCTACCAATTGAGCTACAGAGGACCAGTTGACAGGGGAAGCTCTAGCAGGGCAGACATTTGATGAACTGACTTGTTGGAAAGGTGGCATCCTATGACCGTGCCACGTTGAAAGTCATTGAGCGCTTCAGTAAGACCATTCTACTGCCAATGTTTGTCTATGGAGATTGCTTCAGTCCTTGTTTCGTTTTCATTTATTTTTACCTGGTAAATAAGCAACAATGCTGGGTAACCACAAGGAGAATAAGGGCAGCCAGGCCCATCTTTTTAAAGAAACACCATTTATTTAAATCTCTATTTGAGCAAAATAAGTAGTTTTGTTGTGATCACAATACAATCCTTCAATTCAGGTAAAGAGCGCCACAGTCAGGCAGACAAATCTGAATGTTCTATCATAAAGTGAGAACAATTACTTTCCCTTGCTGTTGTATGGCTGCTACTTAGAAATACTATAACAGTAAATTAATAGATGACATTCACTGCTATAAACCTGTCTCCAATAGAATCGCATAGTTTACACAGACCCAGCGCGGACCTTTGACAAATAAATATCCGTGTGAAAAGGCGTCCAAATGGTCTGTTTCAACAACGAACTCAATGTATTCCGAACATTGGTGGTAACCAGATAATCCCAATAATTTAGGTAGGCTACCTAGTACACGGTGCCCCCCTCTGGCGGAGCCGTTGTAAAATGAGAGGTTTTTCACCATATTAAAACGTGTCCCAGTGCAACATGCCTAGCTCTGCCCACTGGGGCGTAATTACGGAGCGCTCTTTGAAATAAGCGCTCGTATCGTCATATACCAAAGGATCGAGTTCTCACCACACCAGTTACAGGTCCATTTAAAAACAATTCAGATACAACATCAACAGTGCATTCAGTTGAACAGAGACATTTTTATTTCAAAATCGGTTCAAAACACATCTTGTAAATAAACACATAAATAATCATAAATTGACGGTGGCATTATTGAAGAACCTATTCCACAGCTAGCACACCTGATTAAAATGGTCAACTAATCATCAAGTCCTTGACTAGGTGAATCAGGTGAGTTCGTTCAGGGCTACAACAAAATTGTGAAAGTCTGGGGATCACAGAGGAGACGTTTGAGGACCACTGCTCTATGAAAATACCACAGGTGTTCACACCCACACCTCGATGACATCACCGTCCTCCATGTCCAACTGGGAGGGCGTCTGGCTGTGGACGACCTTTGACCCGTCAAACTGGAAGCGCACCTTGCGTCTGGCATCCACGGACATACTGGACACATACTGGGAGAGGATGGAGCCCAGGGGGGCATCCTGAGGAAGAGAGAGAGGGAGAGAGAGGGAGGGAGCAAGAGAAGAATGAGATAGATGAGAGAGAAGGGGAATATTATATTCTTTATGAATAGTTGAGAAGAAAAGGTGAGTTTAAGACTAAGGCTGTACTCCAAACAGCTTCATTTCCTCTGCCCTTGAACCTTATCCTTACACATTTGTGCTCAACCCCAAATCAAGCTTCTTAGTTGTGAGAAACGTTGGGTAATGCTCACTTTGTGTAGGGAATATTCCTGTGCTGAGCCTTTCTCCTTGGCCTGCAGTCGCACAGTGAGCATGTCACCACTTTGCTCGGGCTCGTGTTTATCATCCGCTGCTATGACGACGCAGTCTGACAGAAGGGAGGGTAGGGTTAACAGAAAAGAGGGTTCGTGATCAAACAATGAAAGTGGAATTGCTGCCTTAAATTATGAAACAATGCATTAGAACAGCGATTCTCAACTGGTGGGTGAAAAATATATATACTCCAGTCTAAACTTAAACGACTTAAATCAGGTAGAAAGTGTGTAGAAATTATAATGAACGTACATTTTTTAATAATGTAATCTCTGAAGAAAAAAATCTTCAATCACAGTATTTTCAATATAGAGCTATTAGCAGCGCTATTTTGGTAGATTTTTTTGTCTCAAACCAGAGTTTATTAACATTCTTCATCAAGAATATGGGCAAGATTTTATTATTGACAATGAAACAGGTGGGAATGTTGTTCCCTTATCATATAATTGCTACATTTACTTTCAATATCGCATAAAAAATAGTTTTCCACATTGTATTTTGGTGATAATTTTTCGCGATGCTAATAATTGGGTCGTGACTGAGACAACCTGGTTCAATTTGGGTCCCGAGGCAAAACCAGTTGAGTACCACTGCATTAGAAGTTGAGGTGCGACACTTTCCCCATTGTGTAGCTCAGTTGGTAGAGCATGGCGCTTGCAATGCCAGGGTTGTGGGTTCGATTCCCACTGGGGGCCAGTATGAAAATGTATGCACTCACTAACTGTAAGTCGCTCTGGATAAGAGTGTCTGCTAAATGACTAAAATGTCAAATGTAATGACTGTGTGAGACATCCAGGTGTGCATCCCACTAATGTATGCCACTATGAGTTATCTCACCTATGATGTCAGCGATGCCCAGGCCCAGCTCGTTGGCTGTGGAGTGGACAGGAAGCTCTATGTCTCTCCTCAGTAACAGGATGCGGGAGGGCGGTACCTTGAGCTTGACTGACAGCTGCTCCACCGCTTTGCTCAGGGGCACAGTCTGGGAATGAAGAGCTTCAAGTTAGGAACTAGAAGAAACCTCCAGTTTACTTGTGTAGCAGAGGTGGCTCACTGAGCTAAGCTAACATGAGGATGAGTAACCTTGCCTGACACCAGAAGACTTGTGTTAGCTCCCTGAGTTAATAATGCAAAATGCTTAGTAGGCTTTAAGAGTCTTGTGGCGCACAGACTACCCAGGTTCTAAAGCGGTCACACTCATCATCAACTGATCTCAGCTCTGGCACACTCAGAAGTCTGCAGTAAAAATTACACTCTGTTGCCAAGGTAACAGTTTTCCTAATATAATTTCATAACTATACTGAACAAAAATATAAACGCAACATGCAACAATTTCAACAATTTTACAGAGTTACAGTTTATTTAAGGACAACAGTCAATTGAAATAAATAAATAAAGCCCTAATCTATGGATTTCCCAACTGGGCAGGGGTGCAGCCATGGGTGGGCCTGGGAGGGCATAGGCCCAGCCACTGGGGAGCCAGGCCCAGTCAATCAGAATGAGTGTTTCCCCACAAAAGGGCTTTATTACAGACAGAAATACTCCTCAGTTTCATCAGCTGTCCGGGTGGCTGGTCTCAGACGATCCCACAGGTGAAGAAGCCGGATGTGGAGGTCCTTATGGTAGAGAAAGTTGGAAGCGGCTTATGGTAGAGAAATTAACATTACATTATCTGGCAACAGCTCTGGTGGACATTCCTGCAGTCAGCATGCCAATTGCACACTCCCTCAAAACTTGAGACATCTGTGGCATTGTGTGGTGACAAAACTGCACATTTTAGAGTGGCATTTTATTGCCCCCAGCACAAGGTGCACCTGTGTAATGATCATTCTGTTTAATCAGCTTCTTGATATGCCACACCTGTCAGGTGGATGGATTATCTTGGCAATGGAGAAAAGTTCACTAACAGGGATGTAAACAAATTTGTGCACAAAATTGTAGAGAAATTTTGTGCGTATAAAAAAAAATTCGGGGATCTTTTATTTCAGCTAATGAAACATGGGACTAACACTCTACATGTTGCATTTATATTTTTGTTCAGCATACATTCAGCCTGAATTGAACACAAAAGCCCTCTTTGATCCTCTAGCCTAAGTCTCTGTTAAAGGTGATTTTTAGTCCAGGAATACATATACTCTGAATCTGGGAAACTGGCCCCTAGAAGTTAATGTACAAAACCGACCCTGGACCACCAGTTAATGGCAACCTACACCTTTAACCCGAGTCACGACACACTCACTTCAGCATTACTATGACATAACAGGAAGTGGTGCTATTCTTGATTCTTACGGTTAGCACAGGGATCTTGTAGAGGTCTGTCCGGCTGCGGAACTTGAGGGCAATCTCTCTGGATGTCAGGGGGATATGGTCTCGGGAGGGGGCGAGGGGCTGGCTCCTGGGCCGGGAGTTTGGGGACATGAGGATGATATCATCATCGTCGTACTCGGTGAAAGGAGGGGAGGGGGAGCCGCGGCGTCCGGACCGCCCCTTGGCCTCGGGAGAGAGGAGAGAGCCCACAGCCTTAAGCTTTCTGTTGATCTCTCTGAGAGAGAGAGAGAGAGAGAGAGAGAGGAGAGAGAGAGAGAGAGAGAGAGAGAGAGAGAGAGAGCGAGAGAGAGAGAGAGAGAGAGACCGATAAAGTGAGTGGTGATGATATTATAATTGCATTACTGAAAGGGCATTGCATTTCTGTCTCGGACATAGACAAAATGTCAACTCACAGAATCTTTCGATTGGCCCGATTGGATACTTTGACAAAAGGGCTGCCTGGAGGTGGGGGTGGAGAGGGGGAGCGGATGTCTACCCTGAGAGAGAGAGATTTTAGGGGGAAAAATAGGTTACTACACTAAGAATTTGTTAAAGATGCACTATGCAGAATCGCTCAACCATTTCCTGGTTGCTAAAATTCTAAATAGTTTGCCTAATTTCAGTTTGTGACAAAATAAGTAAGTATAGTGTAGAGAATCCTTGTACAATCGAAACCGCTGTGAAATATATTTTTCATAACCAAAAATATTTTATTTTTAGCGGTTTGAAGCTGGTGTACAAAACCGAAAGTAAAAGACACAAAAAACAAAACTTAAGAATGGGGAGCATAGAAATTGCGCACATAGAACAGATTTAACGCTTCTTAGACTTGCTTCCCATGAAAATGGCAGCTCTATAACAAACATTTCTATGTGAATTCGGTCAGGTCCCCCATAAGGTTAAATACTGCAGCTTTAAAACCATAGTTGAAATATTGTACATCAGTACAAATTAAATACACTACTGCCACCTTCTGGTTGCCTGGGGTAGTACAAAAACATGCTACATAAGCAGAACAGAGTACACCATAATTATAACTTTCTAATGAATCAGACACTTTAGCAGCAAGTAACTCACGGATCTTTGTCCTCTGACTCAGACTCTTCCTCCGAGTCATTCAAGGAAATGCTGATTGGCTTCTTTTTCTTTGAGGGTGGAGACTTGGCCCACAAACTGAGCTCCTGTGCCTTGTCACCTAGGTAAGAAATGTAATTCCATGTTCAGTTCAACAGACAGGAATTGAACTGGAATTAACTAGTAGCAGACCAGACCTCTGTCAGTCAGTCAGTGGGTGTGTGTCTGTCAGTGTGTGTGTGTGTCTGTCTGTAGTTCATACCTGCATTAACATCGCAGGCGAAGACAGTTGGATTCAGCTGTAAGCTGCTGTTCACCTGCAAACATGAATACAAAATTACAAGTATTCGGTAATGAAATAGATTTGACCAATAGCCCAGCCCCAATGCTTTGGCAAGGCAAAAAAGCTGTGTGAGAGTTCTGCAATTGTTCATCTGCAGCAGTTGATGTACAGATCCAAATATTTGTGTGGATGGATCAATCTATGATATACTCCGGCCCCACAGTGATACTGAGAATCACAGACAAATAGACTATGCAAGTCAATAAAATAAATAAATAAAGCAAATAGAATTAACTATGCCAGTAGCAGAGTAGTAAAGAACTTCACACCATAAAATTAGAATAATTAAATAGGAACAGGAATATAAGTAATTTAATAGGATATATGGGCCACACCTTGTTAGAGTAGATAGGCACGGTGGTAACAGACGAGGGGTCGATAATACGACGCCGTTTGGGTTGAGGCTTGACGAGGGCGGTCGACTCAAGGTCGCTGTCACTGTCAGAAATCTGGGGGGGGGAGATCACACACACACGCGCAGTAAGCTTTGATCGATGCTTTACATGCTGAATTAACGTTACTGTAAGTTGGACAAACGTGTAAACATTTGACAAGCTAGTTAGCTAGCAAACTGTCATCGATGACACTATACACCCCTCAAATTAAAATATGGACCTCGAAGTCAGTTCTCTTGCTTTTTTCCATTCTTCCCCTCTAATCAGCGACTGATATGGGTGCAATTAATTATTAGGTAGAACAGAAAATCAGCAGTAGTCCGGACGTCGTAAAGTAAGATTTGAATACCCCTGCCATACACCAACCATCTCACTCAGCAGGTCTAGTTTGATCGGATCTATCACAGCCGGTTGGGGATGGCTGGCTCGGTTAGAACTCATATTATGCACGCTAATAATGAAAATAAACATTGACACTAGCAGCACCAGTAAACGTAGCTAGCTAGCTTATACTAGCACAGATCGAGCTATTGTTTTAACTAGCTGGCTGGCTACTTGAGTTGAAAGACTCGTTTGCATGCTTTTGTGCTAGATTGCTTTCTACACTAAATGATAATATGCTAGTTTATCGGTGAAAACTTTTCTTTTGGACGTCCCGGAAAAAACGTACCACTTCAGCCATCTTGTTTCCCTCTAATGTGATGATTTCAACCAATCGCATCAGTGTTTGCTGGGGGGAGGTTGTGACCTCATTCTGGACCAATCATCTCTGAGAAGAAGACGTGGTCGTGGGACGCGGTCTGTACTGTCACAGAGTTTGTAAACCCAGAGGCGCAACATGGCAAGATTTCCAGGAACGATTACGAAGCAGACCAAGCAGACCATGCCGGGGTTTGGGGTTTGAGAAGTCCGTAAGAGAAGTGAAAAGTTATTCCTTAGTTGTTAATTTTCTCGAAATTTAAAGGCACAACCTAGATTCGAGGCAATGTCTTAGGTAGTTGAACATGTTATCAGTAGTGGAAAAAGTACCCAATTGTCATACTTGAGTAAAAGTAAAGATACCTTAATAGGAAATGACTCAAGTAAAAGTCACCAAGTAACATACTGCTTGAGTAAATGTCTAAAAGTGTTTGGTTTTAAATATACTTAAGTATCAAAAGTAAATGTAATTGCAAAAATGTACTTAAGTATCAAAAGTAAAAGTAATTTCAAATTCCTTATATTAAGCAAATCAGATGGCACAATTGTTTGTGTTTTTATTTATTTACAGATAGCCAGGGGCACACTCAACACTCTGACATCATTCAGAAACAAAGCATTTGTGTTTAGTGAGTCACCAGATCAGAGGCAGTAGAGATGACCAGGGATGTTCTCTTGATTAGTGTGTGAATTGGTCCATTTCTGTCCTGCTAAGCATTCAAAATGTGAAGAGTACTTTTGGGTGTCAGGGGAAATGTATGGAGTAAGAAGTACATTTTCTTTAGGAATCTAGTGAAGTAAAAGTAAAAGTTGTCAAAAATATAAATAGCAAAGTACAGATACCCCCAAAAACTACTTAAGTAGTACTTTTAAAAAATGTCACCCCCACTTCTAAAACCAAAGTTGCGACCCTGCTTTAAGGTATTTATACTTAAGTACTTTACACCACTGCATATTATTACTCCAACGTATGTGTTTGCTTTCAGGGGCAAAGGAAAAACACTACTATATGTCATCTTCAATAATTTATGAAAAAGTATTGATTTCTTTAAAGAGATTGAACAGTCTACTCTATATTCTAACAATAAGGTTGTACAAGATTTGTGTAAGATTCCCAGCCACTCACAATTTCAACTAAATGTTAAAACCACTTTTCATGTGTACCCAAATAGAGGCCAAATTTTATATATATATATATATATATATATATATATATATATATATAAAACGGTTTATTCTTACTCAGTCAGTGTCCATAGTCGACATATCAATGAAAAACATTTGTTTTTGTTAACATGTTAAAAAATATATAACACACATGCATCATAGCCCGTTCCACAAGAAGCATAGTCATGTCACCACCAGGCCAATACAGACAGAACAGAGCACAGAACATCTTGCACGTCTCACAATTATCAAACAGATGAGCCATAATAACACACTGTTGGATATCAATACAACTCCCTAGATTGACTGAGCCTCACAGATAGCTTCCCAAACCCGACCTCAGTGTGTCCATACGTGTGACTAGGGTATGGAATCCAGTGTTATTCTGGGAAGGGGGGTGGGTGGAAACACTTGTCTAGGAACACTTGTCTACACAGTGTATTTGTCAAGTCTGACAAAATACAGTATCTTCAGTCACAGTCCCCTTGTATTCTCTTGACTTTCATCAGTCTCTTATTTACTTCTTTTTGTTCTCTTTGCAGGCCACCACGTATCTCTGAGCCACGTTGAGGGGCGGGGAGTAGCCGTCTGCGTACGACGTGTCCTCAAACAGCACTGAGTAGTCGTCCTGGGGCTGAGAGAGCAGAGAGAACATGGTGGTTAGTGGGGAGAACAGGGTTCACTAATTTGGGGTCAGTTTAGCATTTTCCCCACTAATGGTTAAGGTTAGGATTACTGGAGGGGAAGCTGCCAAGCGAGGGGCCTTCCTGGATGCAGGGATTGGCGTACAGTAAAATTTTATCCAACTGAACCAGCTTCATGTAGTTTTGTCATCAAATAAAATGTATTCAAATGACATCAATCAGTCCCCCCCTCCTCTCCCTTTCCATGTCTCACCCGGTGTGGGGGTGTGTGGATGAGGGCTCTGTAGAAGCAGGTGGTCTGGGGGTAGAGGGCCAGCACCAGCTGGTCTTTACTGAACAGGGCCTCCGGGTCCGTCTCTGGGTTGGCCTTCCACTGGGGCAGGGGGATGATACGCCTCCTGCTCAGGGTGTGTCTCCTGTAGGAGGACAAGAGGAGGAGGATGGGAGATGGCGGAGAAGAAGTAGAGTAGATAATTGTCATCATATCCGAGGTGAGATTTTCAGGGCATAAAATATAATTTACTACAAGACAAAATAGTAGGAAGAGAAATGTAGAAAATGAAGACATTGACTTACTCTTTTCCTTCCTCATCAATGTCATCCACTTCGTACCTGAAGGACAGAGCAGAAGAATACAACTCAAAACAGTCTGTGTTGTAGCTGATTGGCTAACAGTGGTACATGGCTGTACTTGATTGGCTAACAGTGGCTGGAGCTGATTTGCTGATAGTTACTTGTTGGTGGAGTGGCTGTAGCTGACCACCTCGGCCAGGATCCACTGTTCGTCCCCGTCCACGGCCTTGACCCGCGCTGCCACCTTGTCCCCCTGCTTGGCCACGTAGTCACTGCTGGCTGGCATCGCCCCACACAGGGGAGGAGGACTGGAGGAGAGGGGGATACAGGGAAGGATGGAGGGTTTTAGGAGTGGGGGGAGTAATATAGTAATGGAGGACAGAATAAAGGGGCAGGTGGAAGAAAGGTGGGGGAGGTACTGAACTTAAACTGTACACAATAAGAACACAGATTTTAGTTTCCTGTTGCAAAACGTTTTGCTATGTTGTGCACTACTGAACAGGACTCAGGAGAGAGACTGACTCAGACCCTACCTGTCTCCTGGCTTGCCGATCCACAGCGGGAGTGTCATGGCTGACTGTTGGAGCAGCGTCATCAGCACCCCCCTCCGCATGGTCTTCCTGGGGGGGTCATTGTCGCTGTAGACCCCTGCCATCTTAGCCGCTGAGAGAGAAGAGGAGAGAGTGAGGTATGGGCTGCATCTCAATAGTATACAGTGGCTTCTTCTCCTCGTCTCCTCTTCTTCCTAAATGGGATGTAGGCTATTATGAGAATTCAGTCACAGCCATACTCTTCTTACCTATTCGCCTCTCCTCCAATAAGGATTTGATCTCTGCAATTTTGTCGAGGGCATGACGAAGAATACTGTAGGAGAGAAAGAGTGGTGCCCGACTTATTACTTTGGACTGGAGCTGTACTTACTTACTCCACATGGTGGCGATGATTTCTGAACGCAAGACAAAAACACATCTAATCACTGAACTACCACAGTTGGATAGATGAAAGGAAACATTACATTAAATGGCTTACACCAACCCTATCATATTAGATCAGTGGACACTTCAAGGGGCATAGGGATGTCAGTGTAGGCTACCGACCTGCACTCTGCCTCAGCGTCTGCTTTGGCTGTGGTGTAGAGTCCCCTCAGCTTAGTCCGGTAATAAGGGGAGGCTGGGGGAGATGGGGACAAGAATAACACCTTTTACACTGTGTGTGTGTTGGTTTGTCTATCCTTGTGGGGATCGAAAATCCCCAAAAGTCCCCACAAGGATAGTAAAATAAGGAAAATTCTCCCTCGTGGGGACATTTCCCACGTCTCCATGAGGACAAAGGCAATTTTAATTTTAGGGGTTAGGGTTACGAGTAAAGGTTAGGTTTAGGGGTTAGGGAAAATAGGATTTTGAATGGAAATTAATTTTAGGTCCCCACAAGGATAGAAGAACATAACGTGTGTGTGTGTGGGGTAAAGGCTTAGCCAGATGACACATAAACAGAAACGGTGTGTAACAGTGATATGAAGAGTTATAAAATAGTGTTGCAGTGTTGATGGACAAAGGGGAATGTGGGGAGGCGAGGTAGAGGCTCACTCTTGTTCTCAGTCTGCATCCTCTCATGTGTTTTCTGGATGTTGAGCAGGTTGTGTTCACTGCGCGACCGCTCCTCCTGAAAAAGAGAAGGAAAGGGATTTATATTACAATGTGTGGTTGTTGCATAGGTGCAAAATAATGCAATATATCAGCAAGAATAACATATAATGTGCACACACAATTTAAATGTATTACAGTGACTGATATTTTGGCAATGAGATTTAATTTGATCTCTGCATATCATTCCTATTCTGTATTGCTAGGTATTACATTACTCCCAAATGTGACTTCAATCCCTATGATGGCATGATGTAAAAATATGAGCCATAGGAGTCACATTTGAATATCACTAGCTAGGTAGCTATTTATTCATCAAATGACCGTCCTCCACTGTGGTCCCTGAGTTACTGGTCAGTGCTCCTGATGACAACAGCACTTGGGCGTAGCAACCATTGGTTGAGATTTACCTGCGTCTGCTTAATGAGTTGATGGAGCTCTGTTAAAAGCTCTGCGATTTTAGTGTCCGCCGACATGATGTTGCCTGTGGTAACGAGATGTCCAAAATGCATTCATCAAATTAGTTTCACTTGAGGTTAAGCAGCAACATGATAGACATGCCTTGCACACATGATAGCTAGCCAGCAGATTCCGACCCTACCGTTACACTTCTTTACACTGAGTTGCACTGGGGTCGGAACGTCATCATGCTTAGATTAACACTCTGGGGATGAGAAATTGTGTTGTACTCTGAACTGTACCATTATCCCAACTGTTACACTGGAAAGATTGAACGACTGCTTATTTTTCAGAAAAGCTGCCATTTTCGTCCTCATGCTATCCAGCAGTAGCCACAGCAGCCATTATCAAATGGCATGTTGCGTTAGACAACAAAGGAGCTGATTGGCTGACACTGCCATTCCAAAATGGGGGCGGTGGCTACTGCTAGCTAGCACGAGGACACAAAGGGCAGCTTTCCGGAAAACTAGCAGTATTTCAATCTTCTCGATGTATCAGTTTGGATATAGGTAAAATTTAGAGTACAGTGTCACATCCCATCTCTGCATTGAAGTAGGTTTTCCGATCCACAGTAAGGTCCAATGCTGCCGTTTTTCTCTCAATATCAAATAACTTCTGGGTAACAATTAAGTACCTTACTGTGACTGTTTTCAATTAAAATGGTCAACAAAAAAACAAAAATAGCTTCTTAGCAAAGAGCAATTTCTCAAGCAAGAATTTTGTTAGGACTGTCTGGGAGTGGTCTATGTGGGGAGGGTAAAATGGAAAACTAGCTGTTATTGGCAGAGGTTTGGAACACATTCTCTTACTGAGGGGATTTGATTAATCTGGCCCGGGCGCCCGGATAGGTGTGTTTTGCAACGGGGGAAAGTTGATTGCATTCGTTTTGGAACTGGGCTGCCTCCCGGGCGTGAGCCATGTGCCCCATTCAAAGCCCACGGCAAAGTTGGCTCAAAACAAAAGTGACGTATTTTAAGCACGTGGAGTTATGAGTAGGATTCTGTGTTTTCACATTAAAAAGTGATTGCTTTTGATAAAAACGCGTTATCTGCCTTTCCAATGAAAACTTGTTTGAAAATTCAAACATAGATTTTGTGGAAAAGAGATGTTGTATGTTACTGGATGATGTACAGTGAAGGAAAAAAGTATTTGATCCCCTGCTGATTTTGTACGTTTGCCCACAGACAAAGAAATGATCAGTCTATAATTTTAATGGTAGGTTTATTTGAACAGTGAGAGACAGAATAACAACAAAAAAATCCAGAAAAACGCATGTCAAAAATGTTATAAATTGATTTGCATTTTAATGAGGGAAATAAGTATTTGACCCCCTCTCAATCAGAAAGATTTCTGGCTCCCAGGTGTCTTTTATACAGGTAACGAGCTGAGATTAGGAGCACACTCTTAAAGGGAGGCTCCTAATCTCAGTTTGTTACCTGTATAAAAGACACCTGTCCACAGAAGCAATCAATCAATCTGATTCCAAACTCTCCACCAATGGCCAAGACCAAAGAGCTCTCCAAGGATGTCAGGGACAAGATTGTAGTCCTGCACAAGGCTGGAATGGGCTACAAGACCATCGCCAAGCAGCTTGGTGAGAAGGTGACAACAGTTGGTGCCATTATTCGCAAATGAAGAAACACAAAAGACTTGTCAATCTCCCTCGGCCTGGGGCTCCATGCAAGATCTCACCTCGTGGAGTTGCAATGATCATGAGAACGGTGAGGAGTCAGCCCGGAACTACACAGGAGGATCTTGTCAATGATCTCAAGGCAGCTGGGACCATAGTCACCAAGAAAACAATTGGTAACACTACGCCATGAAGGACTGAAAGCCTGCAGCGCCCGCAAGGTCCCCCTGCTCAAGAAAACACATATACATGCCCGTCTGAAGTTTGCCAATGAACATCTGAATGATTCCGAGGAGAACTGGGTGAAAGTGTTGTGGTCAGATGAGACCAAAATGGAGCTCTTTGGCATCAACTCAACTCGCCATGTTTGGAGGAGGAGGAATGCTGCCTATGACCCCAAGAACACCATCCCCACCGTCAAACATGGAGGTGGAAACATTATGCTTTGGGGGTGTTTTTCTGCTAAGGGGACAGGACAACTTCACCGCATCAAAAGGACGATGGACGGGGCCATGTACCGTCAAATCTTGGGTGAGAACCTCCTTCCCTCAGCCAGGGCATTGAAAATGGGTCATGGATGGATATTCCAGCATGACAATGACCCAAAACACACGGCCAGGGCAACAAAGGAGTGGCTCAAGAAGAAGCACATTAAGGTCCTGGAGTGGCCTAGCCAGTCTCCAGACCTTAATCCCATAGACAATCTGTGGAGGGAGCTGAAGGTTCGAGTTGCCAAACATCAGCCTCAAAACCTTAATGACTTGGAGAAGATCTGCAAAGAGGAGTGGGACAAAATCCCTCCTGAGATGTGTGCAAACCTGGTGGCCAACTACAAGAAATGTCTGACCTCTGTGATTGCCAACAAGGGTTTTGCCACCAAGTACTAAGTCATTTTTTGCAGAGGGGTCAAATACTTATTTCCCTCATTAAAATGCAAATCAATTTATAAAAAAAATTACATTCGTTTTTCTGGATTTTTTTGTTGTTATTCTGTCTCTCACTGTTCAAGTAAACATACCATTAAAATTATAGACTGATCATTTCTTTGTCAGTGGGCAAACTTACAAAATCAGCAGGGGATCAAATACTTTTTTCCCTCACTGTACCATGCTCCGTAGATTTATTTTCAATTTGAGAAGGGTGCTCCTCCCTCACCGCTTTTGCCCATTCACGTCACTGAGCCCCGCAGCTCAGCACAATCTAATACCGCCCATTGGTCTATTAACTAATTTACCGCCTGGTGTTGTCACCATGCAGGCCAAAACTCCATCCCACCAAAATAGGCTGAAATTTCAGGCAGTCTTTTCAAAGAGCTCTTACACTAAAGGCATGATCATCATTTTCACAGTATTATTCCAACTACATAATGTGGGAATATATATATAAAACTCAGGAAAATCACGTTTTTTACTGCAATGGGCCTTTAATCTAACCATGATTACGTTCTGACCCCAGTGCAGCTCAATGTAAACAAGCTTAACGGTAGGGTCAGAATCTTCTGGCTAACATATCTAGCTAGCGAACAGTAAGGTTACATAACTAGGTAGCTGTATTGTTCGCAACTTATGGCACATTTACTTTGTACTGGCAAGTTGTCAGCAAGAGTTAGCTAACGTGGTCAGAACAAACATATAATATTGCAGGAAGCTAGGCAGATAAATTGTGAAAATCTAGCTGGCTAGCTTCGCTGGCTAAATAGCTAGCTAGCTTCTATGATGACTTAAACGTGATCTTTCCTTTTATCAACCACCAAACGCAGTTTATTTTGTGGAGTAAAGTTACATTTTGGTAAGTGGTCGCAAAATGTTTAGAACTATACATTCATACTATTTACCTACCTTAGGTAGTTAGATAGCTTGTTAGCTTTCATTCGTTTCAAGGCCTACTACGGACTGGCAGCGAGGACAAACAGTACTACCCCAAACGTTTGTTTTACGTGTCTTTCAATATTGCATCTCGGCCAAAGACTGTATAGAAATAAGGCCTCTCTACCATATGGGCGTTCTAATGTAAAAATAATAATAATCACAAGTAAATATAATTGTTGTTTGAATTCGTTTAGCTAATGTTTACAGCCCATGTAATTTACTTCACCACTTACATTCCATCTTCCAAACATCTCTCCTCAATGTTTACATATTGAAACATACAGTTTTTTGGGGGCATTTCTTGTAAACACATTCAATCAGACTGTAATGTTCTGTCCTTTCTCTAAAGCTTGTGCAAAATGTTCCTTCAGCAGAATTCTGCGAGGGGCAAAAGAGAACGTGAGGGAGGTTTGGCCACTCGAAACAAGCACCAGCTGTAAACACTATGGTGAAGAAAACAACTACATAAACAGCAAAACAATCACTAAGAACAAAACTCAATAGAGAACTAATATGAATGTAAATCTAGGTAGACAGTGCCCTAATGTAAAGCAATATACTGTATCTATTTAATATTAATTAGGTGTGTGTGGAGAGGGGGGTCGTAAAACAGACCAAAGACAGACACAGATAAGTGTTGGCTTATCTGCCATGCGTCAAAACTGTCTGGGGTGCTCTGTGCTGTTTATAATTGTGTGTGTGAGTCTTTGTGTGTTTAGTGTGTTTGTTGAGAGCAGGCTTAGTCACAGCTCATATGGGTAAGCTCGTATTTCAGCAAATATTTATTGAACAGAGCGCCCACATGACTGAGGCCAAGAAAGCGTGGAAGGAGGAGTCACAGATAGAGTAAGGGGAGAAGGAGGAAAAACAGTGAAAGAAAAAACAGGAATGTTAGACAACTGAGAGATAGCCGTTTAAAGGAAACAAGCACAAATGTAAGAAATATGAATAGTGGGAGTGAAAGAGAGATAAATAAAGAAGAGAGACTGGGACAAAGAGAGAGTGAAGCCCCACGCCTCTCAGCTCTGACTCCAGTTTATTGGCAGTACAGTACTGTTTATGGAGGCAGCGAGGGAAGTAAAATATGCCAAGAACTCTCTCCCTGCTTCAGTACGCCTGCGTCAAACCTCCCTTGCTCAAAAACAATTAGGTAATATCCAAAAGGACTGCTTTGTGGAATATCCAAGCCAGGCTTTAGGAGAAAAGGCTACTTTGAGAAGTTTTACTCATAGCTCCTGGTTCAAGGCCTGTAATTTATACGACAGCCTCTGAACATGATGAGTAGATTTATGTGAGTAAAGAGCCCTTCCTCATCATTCTCACAGATACAGACAGTCATATGTTTCTTTGTCATGACTACAGTCTGAATCATTCTATCTAGGATATATATATATATATATATATATATATATATATATATATTCCTTTATGTAAGCCTACATGTATTTGCTATACAGTACCACACACATTTAATTTCCTCTCTACTTACATGCACACGTCAGAACACACACACAATAGGATTTCATGGGCGCTATAGAACTGCGATCAAAATGGGTTCAATGCCTACTGAATAACCAGAATCTGTCTGTCAACTTTGCATTGTCACCAAAAGTTGGTTCAACATGCTCACATTCACACATCTCACCTTCAAGGACCCTTTGGATGGGGCCCTGACAGACAAATGGAGGTCATACAAAGAAAAGGGGGGCATCAAAATGGGTCAGGGACCATGTGGCTGTTAGAAAACATGAGAAGTGTGAGCTTTGAACCAATCTAATCTTTGTCTCCTAGGAGGGAGGGGTTGATAGGGCAGAGAAACCATGTAGGTGAAGGAAACTAGGTGCATTTAGAATTAAGAAATGAATTGCCCATGTAAAATAAATGACTATTGAAAGATGACCAATAGAAAGAAAGCATAAAGCATAATTTTGCAATGGAATAGATTACACAAATACAAACAGGCTACTAATAGAGAAAGAAGGAAAACATGTACCACGAGATTAAGAGCAAATTAAATAAATAAAGGGCACCTGATTTAAACGAACAAACATGAGTGACCTTAAACTACAGTTACATTTTATTGGAAGTTAGTTGGCGTCAAATATTTACCAAAAACTGATGCAACTTTCACTGACTCAGGCAAGGGCCAAGGACTCATAACAAAACTGGGAGGACTCATAACAAAACAGGGAGACGTGGAGAAAGGGAGGAGCGACCATGCTTCATAAATCACATCGAGTCGAAAGAAAGACATCCGTGGGAAAATAACTGCTTTCTAAAGTTGTTTTTGTTGCTGTCCAGCGAAAAGTTAGTTTTAATTTGTTCAATAGAAGCGTCGCTATGTCAAATTTCGTAGACGTGAAGAATGTTGAGCCAACCCACTTTGAAGAACAACACTACGACGAATATGAATACTACAACATTTCAGAAAAATACACAAGTAAGAATCAGTATTTTTTTATGCTTGTTTGTGCAATGAATTATCAAGTTATGAGCAGCAAATAATGGTCGCCGCAAAAAAAATAGAAGAATCATTCAATTTCAATGGTTCGGCGGCGTTTGTTCTATGAAGAATGCTGAAGTTTCCAAACTCCTCAACATGTCGCAAGTGGCACATGTTGACTTCTACAATGTTGCATTGGGGGCAAGTGGGTGTGTTTTTTGTTTTTCAAGTCTCACAATCTGAACTGTGAACTCGCACTGTTTCCAGGTGGCGCTAGCCGCAAGGGGAGGACAAAGAAGGAAGCCAGCGACAACACCAACCGACCCAACCCCGGAGGCCACGAGCGCAAACTCGTAGAGAAACTACAGAACACTGAAAAGAAAGCCAAGGCGTGAGTAAATTGAGGTAAGGTCCCCCCATCTTTGTATGCACTTCACAATTTAAACATGGATTCTGACATCTGGGGCTCAGGTGTGGGACAAAATATAAAGTTAGCCTTTTTGGCCTACTAAATACTATTTAAAGGCATTGTTTTGTTCCTATCTTGGTACTAGGTTCCTACCACCCTTAAGTGCTCCCACGTAGCAAACGGTCAAGTAGGCAGAACCGTAACCAAAGTGCATTTGTCTTTCCTTTCAGGGCAAATCGGACAGCTAACCCTGGCAACCGACCATGGCCGCCTTGGCGACAGAACAAGATGGGCAGACAGACGGTGAACGCCAATGTAGAGGGGGGTGAATATGACGACGGATTACATGCTGCCAATGAGTTTGACTGTAGCTTCAGCGAAGGGGATGTTAGTCCTCTCCTTCATAGAGCTGATGGTACGGTCGGTGGGAGTGGCCCCCATATTGGTTGTTCACCTCAGTCATGGGTAGACCTCCACTGAAGATGATGTAGACCACCTGTGCAAGCAGTCTTCTGGGTAACCTTCCCACACAAGTTGGGAGTAATGGGGGTGGTGGCAGGCTGCATCATGTTTCAGTATCAATGTGGTTTTGTTTTTATAAACCAAAGAGGTTCTTTAAAATTGATTTATTTTACAAAGTGTATTGAAAATAAATGCTTTCATAAAATGTATTACAAGTCTTGTTTCAAAGTGGCACTCCAGTCTCCTTTACACCTCATTTAACACCTGATTTACTTAACAAAAGGCACATCTCAATAGGTGGTCCGGGTAAGTCATGGCATGGCACAAGGGGTGGAGTCTTTCCTCTAGTGTTCCTCAAGCAAGGGGGAGGCTGACATCACAACTTCCCGTCCAACCAACTCCTTGAATGCCCTATTCCTTGACGTTTGCAGTTGTCTAAACACTATTTGGCTTAAACCTATTTTTACCTTTTGGTGTGTGTACTTTACACTTAGGATATTACTTTTCCAACATCACTGGAGGACGTCTTTAATTATGAATTTGTCTTGGTGGAATGTGTCAGGGTCTACAATCTTCAAACAAGCCAATAGGTGGCAGTAACAGATTGAGTTGAGTTACAGTCCTCTCTTTAGGAATGCTCTAGTTTAGAAAATACATTTGTGCCAAAGAATTAAGGGATTACTGTAGACCTTTATTGCAAAACAGTGTGTTTGAATCAATTATTTGGTGAGGTGAATATATTTAGTATAGTTTTGTCTAAAAAGGATAACCTTTTTTAATGTTTTACCATTTTGATTAAATTCACTGAGGAGAATGGTCCTCTCTGAGGAGCCTCCACTGGTACTCAATCACTGATTTACAGTGCATTCGGAAAGTATTCAGACCCCTTGACTTTTTCCACATTTTGTTAAGTCTAGGCTCCTTAACAGCTTCTACCCCCAAGCCATAAGATTGCTGAACAATTAATCAAATGGCCAACCAGACTATTTGCATTGACCCCCCCCTCTCTGTTTTTACACTGCTGCTACTCGCTGTTTATTATCTATTTTTTTATTTATTTAACCTTTATTTAACCAGGTAAGCCAGTTGAGAACAAGTTCTCATTTACAACTGCGACCTGGCCAAGATAAAGCAAAGCTGTGCGATTAAAAACAACAACACAGAGTTACATATGGGGTAAACAAAACAAAGTAAAAAATACAAAGATAAAATATATATACAGTGTGTGCGAATGTAGTAAGTTATGGAGGTAAGGCAATAAATAGGCCATAGTGCAAAATAGTTACAATTTCGTATTAACACTGGAATGATAGATGTGCAAAAGATGATGTGCAAATAGAGATACTGGGGTGCAAATTAGCAAAATAAATAACAATATGGGGATGAGGTAGTTGGGTGGGCTAATTTCAGAATGGCTGTGTGCAGGTGCAGTGATCGGTAAGCTGCTCTGACAACTGACACTTAAAGTTAGTGAGGGAGATAAGAGTCTCCAGCTTCAGAGATTTTTGCAGTTCATTCCAGTCATTGGCAGCAGAGAACTGGAAGGAATGGCGGCCAAAGGAGGTGTTGGCTTTGGGGATGACCAGTGAGATATACCTGCTGGAGTGCAGACTACAGGTGAGTGTTGCTATGGTGACCAGTGAGCTAAGGTTAGACGGGGATTTGCCTAGCAGTGATTTATAGATGACCTGGAGCCAGTGGGTTTGCGACAAATATGTAGTGAGGGCCAGCCAACAAGAGCGTACAGGTCACAATGGTGGGTAGTATATGGGGCTTTGGTGACAAAACGGATGGCACTGTGATAGACTACATCCAATTTGCTGAGTAGAGTGTTGGAGGCTATTTTGTAAATTACATCGCCAAAGTCAAGGATCGGTAGGATAGTCAGTTTTACGAGGGCAGGTTTGGCAGAATGAGTGAAGGAAGCTTTGTTGCGAAATAGGAAGCCGATTCTAGATCTAACTTTTGATTGGATATGCTTAATGTGAGTCTGGAAGGAGAGTTACAGTCTAACCAGACACCTAGGTATTTGTAGTTGTCCACATACTCTAGGTCAGACCCGCCGAGAGTAGTGATTCTAGTCGGGTGGGCGGGTGCAAGCAGCGTTCGGTTGAAGAGCATGCATTTAGTTTTACTAGTGTTTAAGAGCAGTTGGAGGCTACGGAAGGAGTGTTGTATGGCGTTGAAGCTCGTTTGGAGGTTTGTTAACACAGTGTCCAATGAAGGGCCAGATGTATACAAAATGGTGTCGTCCGCATAGAGGTGGATCCAAGCTTCACCAGCAGCAAGAGCAACATCATTGATATACACAGAGAATAGAGTCGGCCCGAGAATTGAACCCTGTGGCACCCTCATAGAGACGGCCAGAGGTCCAGACAACAGGACCTCCGATTTGACACATTGAACTCTATCTGAGAAGTAGATCTGAACCAGGCGAGGCAGTCATTAGAGAAACCAAGGCTATTTAGTCTGCCAATAAGAATGCGGTGGTTGACAGAGTCGAAAGCCTTGGCCAGGTCAATGAAGATGGCTGCGCAGTTCTGTCTTATATCGATCGCGGTTATAATATAGTTTAGGACCTTGAGCGTGGCTGGGGTGCACCCATGACCAGCTCGGAAACCGGATTGCATAGCGGAGAAGGTACGGTGGGATTCGAAATGGTCGGTGATCTATTGTTAACTTGGCTTTCAAATACTTTCGAAAGGCAGGGCAGGATGGATATAGGTCTGTAACAGTTTGGATCTAGAGTGTCACCCCCTTTGAAGAGGGGGATGACCGCGGCAGCATTCCAATCTCTGGGGATCTCAGACGTTACGAAAGAGAGGTTGAACAGGCTAGAAATAGGGGTTGCGACAATTTCGGCGGCTAATTTTAGAAAGAAAGGGTCCAGATTGTCTAGCCCAGCTGATTTGTAGGGGTCCAGATTTTTCAGCTCTTTCAGAACATCAGCTGTCTGAATTTGTGTGAAGGAGAAGCGGGGAGGGCATGGGCAAGTTGCAGCGGAGGATGCAGAGCTGGTGGCCGGGGTAGTGGTAGCCAGGTGGAAAGCATGGCCAGCCGTAGCAAAATGCTTGTTGAAATTCTCGATTATTGTAGATTTATCGGTGGTGACAGTGTTTCCTAGCCTCAGTGCAGTGGGCAGTTGGGAGGAGGTGCTCTTATTTTCCATGGACTTTACAGTGTCCCAAAACTTTTTGGAGTTAGTGCTACAGGATGCACATTTCTGTTTGAAAATGCTAGCCTTTGCTTTCCTAACTGATTGTGTATATTGGTTCCTGACTTCCCTGAAAAGTTGCATATCGCGGGGGCTGTTCGATGCTAATGCAGTATGCCACAGGATGTTTTTGTGCTGGTCAAGGGCAGTCAAGTCTGAGGAGAACCAGGGGCTATATCTGTTCTTAGTTCTGTATTTTTTTAATGGGGCATGCTTATTTAAGATTGAGAGGAAAGCACTTTTAAAGAACAACCAGGCATCCTCTACTGACGGAATGAGGTCAATATCCATCCAGGATACCCGGGCCAGGTCAACTAGAAAGGCCTGCTCGCTAAAGTGTTCTAGGTAGCGTTTGACAGTGATGAGGGGTGGTCGTTTGACCGCGGACCCATTACGGACGCAGGCAATAAGGCAGTGATCGCTGAGATCCTGGTTGAAGACAGCGGAGGTGTATTTAGAGGGTACATTTGTCAGGGTGATATCTATGAGGGTGCCCATATTTACAGATTTAGGGTTGTACCTGGTAGGTTCGTTGATAATTTGTGTGAGATTGAGGGCATCTAGTTTAGATTGTATGTTGGCCGGGGTGTTAAGCATATCCCAGTTTAGGTCACCAAGCAGTACGAACTCTGAGGATAGATGGGGGGCAATCAGTTCACATATGGTGTCCAGGGCACAGCTCGGGGCTGATGGGGGGCTGTAGCAAGCGGCAACAGTGAGAGACTTATTTCTGGAAAGGTGGATTTTTAGAAGTAGAAGCTCAAACTGTTTGGGCACAGACCTGGATAGTACGATAGAGCTCTGCAGGCTATCTCTACAGTAGATTGCAACTCCGCCCCCTTTGGCAGTTCTATCGAGACGGAAAATGTTGTAGTTCGGGATGGAAATATCTGCATTTTTGATGGCCTTCCTAAGCCAGGATTCAGACACTGCTAGAACATCAGGGTTGGCAAAGTGTGCTAACGCAGTGAATAACTCAAACTTGGGGAGGAGGCTTCTGATGTTAACATGCAAGAAACCAAGGCTTTTACGGTTACAGAAGTCAACAAATGATAGCGCCTGGGGAGTAGGAGTGATACTGGGGGCTACAGGGCCTGGATTAACCTCTACATCACCAGAGGAACAGAGGAGGAACATAATAAGTATACAGCTAAAGGCTTTAAGAACTGGTCTTCTAGGGCGTTGGGTACAGAGAATAAATGGGGCAGAACACGACCGCACTGCTATGCCATCTTTACCCCTACCTACATGTACAAATTACCTCGACTAACCTGTACCCCTGCACATTGACTCGGTACCGGTACCCCTGTATATAGCCTCATTATTGTTATTTTATTGTCTTACTTTTAGTATTTGTTTGATTTTTTACTTTATTTTATTTAGTAAATATTTTCTTAAAACTGCATTGTTGGTTAAGGGCTTGTAAGTAAGCATTTCACAGTAAGATCTACACCTGTTGTATTCTGCGCATGTGACAAATAAAATGTGATTTGATTTGATACAGAGTGCTGTTGAGGCTACTGTAGACCTTCATTGCAAAACAGTGTGTTTTAATCAATTATTTGGTGAGGTGAATATATTTAGTATCGTTTTATCTAAAAAGGTTAACTTTTTTAATGTTTCACTATTTTTATGAAATTCACTGAGGAGGATGGTCCTCTCCTTCCTCCTCTGAGAAGCCTCCACTGCTTGATACTTAAAACCTAAATGA